AGTCAATGTGCCGGTCTAGATTACTTTTACTGTGCTGCAGAAAAGTCACACTGGTCACATTTGAAGGGCTTGTCACCAGTGTGAGTTCTGATATGTGCTTTTAAGCTACACTTGTAAGCTGTCTTGTACGTACACACTCCACACGCATAGGGTTTGTCACCTGTATGTATTCTGGTATGTACTTTTAGGTGATACTTGTTAACTGTCTCGTATCCACACTCCCCACACTTGTAGGGTTTGTCTCCAGTGTGTTTAGCCATGTGCTTATCTAAACAGACTTTCTGTGTAGCAGAATAGTCACATTGGTCACACTTGTAGGGTTTCTCACCTGTATGTGTTCTCATATGTATGGTTAGGTTAGACTTGTAGGCTGCCCTGTATCCACACACCCCACAAACGTTGGGTTCATCAGACTGGGTAGAGTTTGCACCAAGCATTTCCTTACTCAGAATATCTCCGTTGTTCTGCCCTTCCGAGTTTGATGCCAGGTACTTCCTGAGGTTCGTCTCAGCCCCACTTTGTTCAGTCTGGTTCCCAGGGTGTTCAGTCTCGATCCCAGGATGTTCAATCTCGTTCCCAGGGTGTTCAGTCTCGATCCCAGGGTGTTCAATCTCGTTCCCAGGGTTTTTATTCTTGACCACAGGGTGTTCAATCTCATTCCCAGGGTGTTCAGTCTTGATCCCAGGGTGTTCAATCTCGTTCCCAGGTTGTTCCATCTCGGTCTCAGGTTGTTCCATCTCGGTCTCAGGTTGTTCCATCTCATTCCCAGGGTGTTCCGTCTCATTCCCAGGGTGTTCAGTCTTGGTCCCAGGATGTTCAGTCTTGACCCCAGGGTGTTCAGTCTCGGTCTCAGTTTGTTCCATCTCCTTCCCAGGATGTTCAATCTCATTCCCAGGGTTTTTATTCTTGACCACAGGGTGTTCAATCTCATTCCCAGGGTGTTCAGTCTTGATCCCAGGGTGTTCAATCTCATTCCCAAGGTGTTCAGTCTTGTTCCAAGGTTGTTCCATCTCATTACCTTGTTGTTCAATCTCGTTCCCAGGTTGTTCCATCTTGTTCCCAAGATCTTCCATCTCATTCCCAGAACACTCTGTAGGCAGGTCGTCAGCAGGAAACCCACAGCTTGGCTCCTCCATTCCTACACAGAGGGGAAAGTTATGTAAATGCATGGAATCTGCATTCCTTTTTCTATGAGGCTCAGAGAGATAGTTTACTTCACTTCACTCTATCTGTATCTGTATCTGTATCTGTATAGCTGGTATAACTGCCTTTCGGCGTAACACACCAGCTTCGCAGGCACGCGGCACTCTAATTCAACGTCATGCATTCTCTGTAAATATATTATTTGTTATTTTAAGCGTACTTGGTCACTTTGATTCTATGTAATACATGTTACAATATTTGTTATCCTAAATTCATCCTCCAGTATTATTGACAAGTGATTTTAATACCTCCAAGTCGATGCCTGAGGCCCCAAAAGTCACAGCTGCCCAACAAGCTGAGAGATATGTATGTTTGAGCCTTTGTTATTCATTTGATCATGGCATGCTCAAATGATCCTGGTGACAGCTGTTCATTGAGCGAGGTCACAACAACAGGCAGACAAAATATGGATAGACAAAAATGGTAGATAGAAAAGCAGTTTACAAGTTATGTAAACAGTAAAGTGTTACACATCCAGATACATCACCTGAACGTGAAGCCCCGTGAGGGCATTCTTCAGTAACCTATAGATGTAGATAGATGTACATGTAGATACTAAGTTCTCATCAGGCAAACTTAATAGACACCATAGGGGCCTTGCCCACCTACACATGCGCTAGAAATGATCGTTACCACATGTAGATCCTAGAACAAAGAAATAAAGTAGAAGTTGGCTCTGAGTCTCATCCTCTCATCCTCGCGTATCAATCGGATCCATAGTTGAGCATCCGTACACAAGAAGGCGTAACATGAAGAGACTTTCGCCTTTGACTTTTAGTCATTTACAACTTACTCATTATACAAATTGTTTTATATATAGCGCCCCCCCCCCATCTCAGATGTACAAAATATGTAGGTCACACATAATCTGGGTCAGGACACACTTCACTTTGCTTAGTTTGTGACGTTTCCCTGTCGATAAGCTCGAACTGTTTAGTAGAAAGGTAAATGAATGTCTTACCTACCGGACTGTGATGGTTTTGGATAGATTCAAACGCTATAGAATGTCGAAAATCGCGTCGGGTCAGAGATTTATTTATTTGGGGAAAGCTGGTTTCCCCAAATGCAACATGCAGCTGCTTGGATTGGCCCACTGTCTTTATAAGGGAGAATGGTTCAAAATGGTTAGCTTCTGATATCAACAGTAAGTCTTACTTTTCAATTTCAATATAAAAAACATCTTAGTTATATCAATTTTATTGTTGAATCTAAATTTAAACAACTACTAGTGTCGATTAACGACCTCATGTTAAAGACGATGAAACATAAAACACCCCCCATACGAGTGGTAGAGACCTAAATCCTCAAAGGTTAGTCCACTTTTGTAAGGGGAGACATATCACGGGCGTTATTTTATGGAAACTAACACAATATATGTTCGTGCCTTGATAGATACAAATCACCAATATTTTGACATATAGCCTTTTTTCAATACTAGGAATAGATGCATACGTAGTAATTTTTAAATTTGACTAACATGTTTTCTTGAAAATAAGCTAACACCCCTTTATATAAATCGGATAGACCAAACATCAAGGAACCAACATTTGTTTGCGGAAGAGCTCGACAACTATTTGTACAGAACTGAGCTAGCCCTGGCCTGGACTTCTGGGTGCAGCTAATCAACGACAAAGTTCCCTCTGCTATAAATTCAGTTTCAGAGCCGTATTCGGCCAGTAGTGATGTCCTGAACATGTTGGAACACTGCACTTTTGGCGCGCTTTTGATACTTCTTCTTCTTCTTCTTCTTCCGGTGTAAGCCCACATTCGTTACGACGAATATTTTGGCTTCTTGGGAGAGAGCGCGTTTTGCGCAGGAGTCTGTGCAATCATGTACTTGATGCGACGTAAGACGGTGCATGCAGTATCGACCACCGGAAATGTCCCACTAGTAAGTGCTGTTCACTTTATAATACTATAGCACTGGTAAACCTAATCTCCAAGTAACCAAGACAGTATTTAACAGGCTACCGGTAACTAATCGGCTGGATACTGTCATACATATAGTTCTGTATACTGTCAAAATCTTTAATGCCGAAAGAAATAATTACTTATAGACTGTAAGTGGAGATACCGGTAGTAGGTGAATCTGTTTTTGACATCCTCTCATCAGTGTCGCATTCCTTAGGTAGTCCACCCTGGACTTATTCATGCCAAAGTACATAGCGTCACTTTCTTCTTAAGTCCTAACGTTAGCACGAATAGTATTTGCAAACAAATGCAAATGCTTTCATACTTGATGACACACAAAATTCTTCTCTTATTGTAATGCACGCATACCCTTCTCTAACAAGTGTATTTTTGTAGAATTTTGAGGCTTCAAGTCTAATGGCTACGCTACCGTCATAATATATATTACCAAGGACATTATACACTGTGTATAATGTCCTTGATATTACACAAGCAAGTTCGATTTCATGTTATATGAGCCATAGCGTTGAATGTCAAATTGTCGTGCGCTACATGGCGTCACCGGGACTCATTAGGGAATTTCTTAGTGGCACGACAATTTGACATTCAATGCCATGGCTCATATAACATGAAATCGAACTTGCTTGTGTAATATATATCATATTATGACGCAAGTCGCTAGTGTAGCCATTAGACTTGAAGCCTCAAAATTACACAAAAATACAGTGGTTAGAGAATGGATATGCCCCGTTTATAACATACTAGTGTGAATTGGGCCGTCCAGTTGTCCAAACTGGCATGTTGAATTTTGAGATTATTTACAGGTCTGCTGTTTTTTTTACTGTTGTAGGGCAATGCTGAATGACCTGCCCTATCACCTGTGACCTACAAGGAGCTGAAATGGTTGGACATTTCTGACCTATGACCTGTGACCTACAAGGAGCTGAAATGGTCGGACGTTTCCCACAAGTGTCTTCCGACGACAACTCCTCGGATGACGATGGGTTGAAGGTCTCTGAGGTGGCTGCGGAGGAACGAACTCACGCACCACCGACATCGGCGCATAGGACGCTGTCACATAGGCCACGGTTCAGAACAAAAACAAGATTTCCATGCTTCTGGAAAAGACACCATGCATCTAAGTATCTCACAGTAAGTATTGTCTCTTCTTCTACTATTAATATTTGTGCTAAGCCTTATGTAGTAGTGGGAGGCAGCTCACTGTGTTAGACATGTCACCCTTATAGTATTGACATATACATGTAGCATCCAAATTTGTTCCCCAAAAGTCAAAGAAGTCAAGAGAGGATTAACTTCATTGACAACTCAGATGGGATACTAACCTGGCAGAAATAATCCAGTCTCTGATGGAGAACAAACTGAAGGTAAGTACATAATCTTAGATAGACGGGATTTGGCATCCTCCCTGAGAGCTTATGGCCAGCGTAATGCCAGCTGAGGGATCGAACCTGTGACCTCTCGATCTCATGTCCCCTACTAAGCCTCTTGATGCCACTCAACACCACTCGAAGTCAATGACGCAATGTAAATAACGGATGTCCTTACTGAGGCTAGGTACTTTTAATCATTTTAACTCAAGTCCTGTGATGAAATAAATCTAAGGCCTGCCATCTGATGAGGAGTTGTCACCCATTTCTGGGGCTCAAAATATCATCTGTGTATCCACTGGTTATTACAGGTAAAATTGGAGCTATTTAGGTGTTTCTGATATCTATCTACCCCAAACCTACACCAGTCCATACTGGGTTTATGTACACATGTAGGTGTATGTGGAAAGAAATTTGGCAATGGTTTCTGAATAGTTTTAGACATGATCCATACTTCTTAAATGGTAGTGCAGGTAAAATTTGGCTGTTGCAGGTAATTTTCAGTGCTACCTGCACCAGTGCACCTCACCTGCACCAGTGCAGGTTTGCTGAAACCAATAAGTATTCTGAGCCCTGCATATTACCTTCTCCAGTCTGTCACCTTGAGGTTTGACAGCTGTTGTTTTCCCTTCCCCAGTGCTGTGGCAGTGACAGCGAGGACAGTGAGGAAGACGACCTTCAGATGGAGCTGGCCGACTTTCTGGCGGAACAGAACAACCAGGGGTCAACGACCTCCCTACAGTTCCTGCTGCCCCAGGGGTCATACATGGAGGGGGTGCTACCACTGCGATACGGGGAGGAGGTACGTTTCTGTTTTTTTTTAAGTCTGAAATGCACTTGTATGACCTTGTCAGCATGTTGGCTTTGTTACCAACTTTTCCACCATGCCTTCCATGTATGTGAAAAATTGTAATACATAAACAAAAATTCTGTAAGTAGTGTGTGTATCATGATTCATTTTGTGATTTCCAACTTAGAAGATAAAGTCTGACTTACAAGGGTTTCTGTTCTATTTCTCCTGCAAGGATACAAAAGCCTCATATACTCAAAATCATGGTTTTCCATCTTCATGTAAGCCTTTAGAGATATCATTCTGTCAACTCAGAGAACTCATACACACTTTCAATCTGTTTTGATTGTCTGTTTGTGTTTGTCCCAGGGTCGACCATATTTGCTGCTGAACAAGGTGAACTGCCCCTCCATGGACGTCATCAGCGAACACCTCCATCGAACATGGCGGATCGAGAGGCCAAAGGTCATCCTGTCGCTCTACTGCGAGCCGGACTACTTCAGCCTCTGGAAGCGGAGAAAAATTTACGACGCCCTACAGACGGGACTGATCAAGGTTTGGATCGGATGAACAAACAAATAAATGAATGAGATAGCCACTGGTATGGTAATGCCATGATCATGCATTTGTTACCTTGCTTCTTGTTCTAAACAAAAGTAGAATTTTAACGAAAAAAGGCTTAGGATAGAAATGGAGGTGGTTAGGGAGGAAAACTTGAATCTGACTGTACCTAGTATTCACTCTCTAAAATAGTGTGCAGCAAGGCACAGACTATTATCAGAACAAAGATTGGAGTTGCTTCAGATTTGAAGTGCCAGAACATTTGCTTACTTACAACCCTAGGATCTGACTGCCCTTTATTCTGCTATACTCAACGAACATGTATGTTCAAACAACCCTAACCCAATGTCGGAATACAGGGGTGTCAGAACATAGGGGCATTGGAACATACCAAAGTGTACCAATGGCCATCAAAGTATTTACATTTTTTACTCCCCCCAGCTTGCCTCCACCACCAACATGTGGCTGATCACCAATGGGGCAAACCTGGGCGTGGGGAAGCTGGTTGGAGATGCGCTGAAGCGGGAAAAAGCGCGGCGGGAGTACGTCGTGGTGAAGGAAGAGGACGACCAACCCACGCTCCGGGCCGTCGGGATCCTGCCGTTCTGTGCTGTGGCTCAGATGCTGCCGAGATGGGTGGGTACAACTTAAAGCTTTGTCTTTAACCTTTAGCATGCTAAGGTAGTCATTTGGCACCAGCTTTGTATTGATTATGGGGTTAGGCAGCAAGGAGAAATTGGTGTCAATGGTGCATAGAATTATGTATTTTACTTATTAATGTGTCTTTATGTGTGTTTCCTTTGTTTTTTCCAAATGCTAGTCATGTTGGGGCTCAGACAGGAAGTTTAGTGTGAAAGGTCCCAAAATATGGATAATCACTGATTATTTCATAATTTATGATTGATTCATTGGTCAATTATTGATCGATTTATATTTGATGGGCACACAGCGGGTTGTCCAGGATGAGATGAAGGAGCAGTGGGAGCTGAACCCTGACCACACACACTTCATCGTGGTGGACGACGGCTCAAACGACAACTGGACCGCAGAGCAGGACCTGCGCCTCCAGCTGCAGCACCACTACAGATCACCCCGCCAGGTCTACAATGGTATGGCCCACTTCTGGTTATCAGCACTACATGTGTACACGTATATACATGACTTGTATAGTAGCCTGGTTGCCAGACCTATAATATTAGATGTAGATGTTTGCAGAGAGGATGTAGGACTCAGGAGCTATAGTAGGTCTGGTAACAAGGCTACATGTATAGTAAATAAGGAAAGATTGGTTCTCAAATACTCACCATGGTAACTAGTGCTGTAGCCTGACTGAACCTCGCTTTTTGCCGGCTCCCTAGTAGTCTGCCACCGTGTGGGGTTGGGCTACATTATGTAGCAAGTAGCAGGACTTGGAGGGTCTGGTCATCATATAATTGAATATTTTGAGAAATTAAGAATAAACAGAGCTGTAGCTTATTAACTATCATGTGAAGGTTAAAAACATTATGACTTTATTTATTTTTTTTGCTTTGCAATTATTACCTTTCTTGTTATACAATGTACATGTACCTGATCTTTATTTCCAGTTCTTCCGGGCACAACCTCCAGAAAGAAGGCGAACCCTGTGGTGTGTGTGTTGGTGCAGGGAGGGCCGGCCAGTATACAGTATGTACGGGGGTGTGTGCAGCAGGAGACACCTGTGCTGCTACTGAAGGGGAGTGGCAAGGCAGCTGATCTACTGGCCTTTGCTTATGAGGAGATTAAAGAAAGGTAAGGACTGTTTCCGACAAATCTTCTAAATTCTGATTCCACTCTGTCTTATATCATAACATTAAATTAAATGTATTAAAATGTAAAAAATACATCAAAGTCATCTATTAAAAGACAGGCTGACTATAAATCATAAAAATCCTATATTGTCAATGTCACGTAAAATTCACAACATACATTTAACCAGAAGCTTCAATCCCGAAGAAATTAAAAGACAAAAACTAAGGTGAATAACCTATAGTGTATATTCTTAGTACCAAGTTCATATTGACACAATGTTTAAATGATGTGAAATTCGTTGGAGACACCAAACAAGCCCAGTGTCATGGCCTTGTCCCTCTGGTGCCTTACAAAGGAAAAACCACTCCAGCTACAGGGTTGGGTAATGTTGACTTTTGGGTCTATTTTTGCTGGCAAGGCAAGAGTTGGGCCACAGTGTCAGCCATGCAGGCTACACCCATTTCTTTCCTTGACTCTGCAATAAATTTTCAAAGTAATGGTACTAATACCTTACCAAAAGGGTATTAAGGTGTGTCACATTCATAGGCTGTCTAACAGTCTTGAAATTTTGATTTCACAGTGTTTTCAAGCAACTTATGTAATAAGAAAAAAACAACCACCAACAAATTTGAATTAGATTGTTTGCAGTGGCCTCTTGAGGGCTGTTTCCTTTTCACTCTCCCTTGTGCATGAAGGCAGTTTGCCAATTTGAAAGCTTGTAGTTTGGATGCCCAGCCTTCTGTTGGTGAATGTCTGAAAACCATTTGACAGTCGCAGGGCTATGTTAACATAGAGGAGATGTATTTGTTTACATTCTAAGGTTCCTTCTATTTGTCCAATGGACTTTCAAGCTCCCTTACACAAGATTGTGAAATGGTTTGCATACCAAAAGCATGTTTAAACAACATTTAAGCTGACTCCTGATGAGACTATAGTACTATAAGCAGTCATGCGTCTATGTGCCAAAATTCCTACGGCTTCTTTGATTTGTCAGAGGTTTTCAATTTGAAGTTACCACAAAAGATGCTTGAAGTAGTTTTAATTACAAACTTTGCTGTATAATTTTGTGTCCTCGGGCACTTTGGATGCCATTGTCTGACACTAGCCTAGCCACAAGCCCTTCCTATCTAATTCTATATTTGCAAGTCCATGTTAAACACAGAAGGGATCGGTATTGTTTACACAATGAAGATCTTTTTATTTGTCCGTGGTTTTCAGTCCTCCTTGTGGGACGTGTGAAATAGTTGACATTAGTGGAACTCCTATAGTGAAAGTTGAACCGGTTTGCTCACACAGAAGAGTTGATATATTATACATTGTAAGCCACGACATGCATGACATTGGGAGGACATACTGTACAGTCCTTCAGGGTCATTGTACTGGGAAACTTACCCTTAAACATGTAGGAGATGGGTTTGATTCGATTCCATGTAAAAATGCCCAATTTCAAACATTATTGACGATAAAAATACTCTTCCTTATTAAACTTGGCTTTGGAATGTCAGTTTTTTTTTTATTACAGGACAGAAGGAATCTGTCAAGAATGGTTACTTCTATAAGAGTCTGACATGTCTAAGACCATGCTAAGACAGGCATTCCTCTCTATCTTCAAAGCAGACTTCCCCAGAGGGACTGGATTTGGTGGTACTTAGCCTTTCATACTACATAATATGTGTATTTGAATCAAATCCATCTCAAGTGACATTTTAAGATGTTCCTCTCAGCCTTACTTCAGACCTGCCAAGGAAGACTGGATGCAGTACTTGAGAACTTCTAAGACAGTTCTAAGGAATGGTAATTTCTAAAAGACATTTTTCCCAATATTATAAGATTTTTCTCCCTGTCTTTACTGCAGACCTGCCCAGGAAGACTGGATGCAGTACTTAAGAGCGGAGCTGTCCAGACGGATCTTTAAGACGTTTCCCCAGCTGTCTCAGGAGGAGGTTCAGGACCTGAAGGAGTCCATCATCGACTGTGTCAACGATGCCATCAAGGTCAGAGTGACCTTCATCCTGTTGATTTAACCTTCAAAAGGTCAAGGGCAGATAAGTCTGTAATAAGTGTTTGAAAATTTAGTTTTGTGCAAATCACTAAACAGGAAAAGTGAATGCAGTAACAGTTCACTCGCTCAATCACTCAGTCACTCACACAGTAACTCACTCACTTACTCACTCATTCACTCACTCACTCACTCACTCACACACACACATGCACAGTACTCACACGCTCACTCAATCTCATTCATGTAGCTCACTCACGTACATGTACATGTAGCTCACTCGCTCACTATTCTTCTTGTATACTCCCAAAGTACCACTCACATAGCTGTAAGCCGTAACAGTTGTATGATTTCATTGGTAACTTGATCTGACACCAGGTTCTTTAAAATTTAATCTGAGCTTGAACTTAAGAACAATTTCTGAAATATTTAAGATGAGCCTGATGAGTCACAAGCTCCTTGGCATTGATGCAATTCCCTCCAGAGTTTAAGCTACAAGTTTTGTCATGCGGGTACTTTATGTCTTAAATCTTTATGACAAAGTTTTGCACACCTTGACGGATCGTGTGGCATAACGGCAGAGTGCTCGACTCAGAACCAAGAGCTCCCAGGTTCGAGTCCTGGCATGCCACGATCTTGTGCCCTTGGGAAAGGCACTTCTCGACTTTCCTCACTTACATGAAACTCAAGTAAAAATGAGCATCGTTCTGTCGTGTATATGTTTCTATGTGTGGGACATGACACCAGCAACAGCTGCCTGACCCACATGTATTGTATTGCTACAATTTCAATAAAACAAATCAAATTACCAAGTCTTGCACACATCTCCCCCCCCCCATCAGGAGGACCAGGTGTTCCTCAGCATCCTGGAGGTGCACAGTTTCCATGACGACCTGGAGAACCTGGATAAGTACATCCTCACCGCCATCTTGAAAGGTACGTTTGAAGGACACTCTGGTCCCCTTACTGTGCTCTATACATGAAGATGCATGATTTTCCATGTTCAAGTTTTCCATTTATTGAGCCTGATCTCTGTCCTTATGACCTGCTCTGGGTTTGGATGAAGACGAGATATGAGATATTCTGAAGCATAATAATGATGAACTGTAATTCCCAACAATTTGTGTTGAAAATTATGGTACATTCGACTTTGCTTTGGTTTTTATCACATGAACTAATTTTTTTTCTTTTTTTTTTCTACCTTTTTTAATGTCTGCAGCCCAAGCAGATGTTTCCGATGACAACGTTGTGCAGAGCGACCTTCAGCTGACCTTGCAGTGGAACAGACCTGACCTGGCGCTCTCCGAGATTTTCCAGTCTCCTTATTTCCCCGACAACATCAAGGTAAAGTCACCTGTACTGGCTGTACATCAAGGTAAACTCACCTGTACTTGACTGTTTGAAACTGAAAGGACCCTGTTGGTAGACTTGAATTAGATCAGTGAACATGATTGTTTTTTTTCTCAGATCCCGTCTCGGCTGTTTGAGAAAGCTCTACTGAAGAAGGACCGGGAGGAGTTTGTGGAGCTTTTCTTGTCTCAAGGCTTCGACCCGGCAAACTTCATGACCAGGCACAGATACAGGAGACTGTTCGAGGTATTTATAGTTTTTTTTTTTTTACAGTATACATTTTGTAGCCTCTACCAGGCTCTGGGAGGCGTCCGGGAAGAGTAGAAATTGACCAAATAAAGAGATACATGCTGAGGGAGTTGGTCCACTAAAAAGTACAGTTTGCCGCACCCAAATGTTGGACACCAGGTACGTATTTAAAATCATCTTAAGGTAATGTAAATATACTATTTAAAGCTGTATGGTATAGAGGCTACAGTTTCAAAATCATGCCATCTTTTGGTGTAGAACAAGACATGGATGATTTAATGAGTTTCAAATTTTTCCTTTGACACAACTTATCCTTTTGTTGACAGAAAGCAGAGGACAGGGAGTTTATCAAGGGAGTGTTTGGAGCCATGGGGTACAACCTGCCTGTAAGTACAGCATTTTTAAGCTCTAGTGTTATTTTTTGTAAATACGTGTATTCTATATCTTGATCTTACAGTAACTATAAAGATTAAGAATAAGAACATATTGTCATGCCACAGAGGATTACAAAATGTAAAACACTGTAGAATTTTCTAAATTTCTAGGAGTTCAGATTTCTCTAAAACAAATTCCTGCTTGCTTTAAATTTGAAAAGACACACTGTTTGATACTATTATTGATAATGTTTGCTAACATAATTCTGCCATATACATGTTCATGTACAATGTATCTGCTGCCCTTAAACTATATGTTAAAAGGAATGTGCACCGCAAAACTCTTGAAAATACTGTTTCTCAAAGCAATGTAGAGATGTAACCTGGTGAATAAATGTTGATTGAGGTTACATTTTTTTCATGTTGCAGGATTTTGGGGTCCTCCCCGAGAAGTTTCTGATGACCCTTAAGAAGGTAATCTGCAGACTTGCAGAGGTCGACGTTTACTTCTTCTGCCACGAGAGCCCGAACAAGCAGCGGCCGAGTCTGGAGAAGGCAGCCATCATGTGCTTCAGCTTCCAGAAAAAAACTAAGGTGGGTGGAGGTTAGAAAAAGGCATCTTTTTTTAAAATCTCATACAACAATAATGATAGATCTTGACAATGTGTACATGTAAGTCTGGAAGAAGGTGTTGTTTTTCCAATTTGGTCAAAAGCAAGCCAACACAGAAAGCAGTGCTGTTGTGCTGCGGTAGACTGAAATTAAAGAATGACTTGGAAAATTCTTGACTATGATAATCATAAATGCCCCCCTCCCCTCAGGTGATGATGGACCTGTTGCTCTGGGCGATCCTGGTAAACAAGCAGCGGTTGGTGCGTGTGATCTGGGAGCAGTCGGAGGACCCCATCCCGCTAGCCCTGTACATCCGCCGGGTCTACATGTCGCTCACCAAGTACGTGGAGGATGCCACGCTGCGCAGGGAGATGCACGCACTCGTCACGTATGTACACGTATCTGTATCGGTATAGCCCGTATAACCGTCTTTCGGCATAACACACCAGCTTCGCAGACACGCAGTGAGCTATATCACATCGCAACAGTGAGCTATATCACATTGAACGACCTGTTATATCTAATCTTTGCACATTAAATTGCAGGATTTGCTTAAAGCTTTTTAGTGATGATGTCACAACTGTGTGATTTTTGTTTAACGTAAGAATTCCAAATGAAATCTGTCCAGGAACTACTTCAATGTTGCTGGAAATAAAATTTTTGTCAAAATTGTTACAACAGTGAGTATGAAGACCTGGCCGTCGGTGTCTTAGACATGGGGTACAAGGAGTCCACCAAGAAGGCGACGGACATCTTAAACGAGATGGTTCCGGACTGGAAGGTGAAGACGGCGATCGAGGTCGCGTACGACAGCAAGTGTAAGAAGTTCATCGCCCATCCCTGCTGTCAGAAGTGGGTGAAGCGCAAGTACATGGGAGGGATTTCTGTCAAGAAAAGGATGGCAAACATCTTCCCCAGCTGGCTCAAGGTTTGTTCGTTTGTTTTTTATTCTATATTGAGTGTAAGAAGTTCATCGCCCACCCCTGCTGTCAGAAATGGGTAAAATGGAAGTACATGGAAGGGATTTCCATCAAGAAGAGGATGGCAAACATCTTCCCCAGCTGGCAAACAAACAAACAAACGTTTGTTTATTATCTATAAAAAACTAAAGGCTCTTCTTTCTAGAATACCAAAAGGCTCAAGGGAGGCGTCAGAGAACTTAACATTCAGTCACTTTGTTTTACTTTGTTTTACTTCATCGACAATGCAACAAGGCATAACATGTCGTAGCCAGGCGGCAACAAGGCTGGCGGTGGCTACCACTGTCACGTACAACATGTACAAGTATTATCATGATAACATACAAAATTCACTAAATAACCAATTGAAAGCTTTACTTTCATTACAACCATCTTTTGTCTCCAGATCCTGCTGAGTGCCTTCCTGATCTTCCCCATGTTCCTGTTCATCGACTTCCGTTTTCTGCGGCCGAGTGCAGAGGACCAGAGGAGGGCCCAGAGGAAGAGGGAGATCCTCCGGGGCAGTCAGCAGAGCCAGAACAGCATCAGTCAGAGCCCGGTAGGTTTGAAGTGACAATACCTTTAAGGCATTGCTGTCAGAACTACATGTACCCCTCCCAAGACGGGTACTGCCAGGCTAGTGCCAGCCCCATGTGAACACTGCTTTGCTCTCCCACCTGCATTGTGACCAGTTGTTCGGCGCCAGAACAGGACTCTACAGCCACATGGGGACACAGGTGACTACAGATGGATGACAGAAGTGGTCCTTGTCATGCTGACAGAGGAACACCATCCCTGCCAGAAATGAAATTTACATAAATGATGAATCAGTGACAATGGACCTCTATGCAGAGTTATTAATGCACAAAATTTAAACTATGTTACAGTAACAACTGAGAATTTTTTATTAGCACTGCTGATTGTAATAATCCTGAGATGTACCCATACATGTATTGTAGAAAGGGTATTGATGATACATGTAAGTACTGCTGAACTGGCATTGAATGGCCAACTTGCTAAGGTAACCAGAAAACAAGTTGGGCTCAATGTCTACTCCCTCCCCAGGTATATCCGTACGTAGAGAGGCAGGTGGAGGAAGGTTGTGAGTCGTCTTGTCGTTACTGTGCAGGCTACAGGTGCAACTGCACCCTCAACACCTGCATGCTCAACTTCTTCCGCAGAATCAAGGCACTGTGGACTGCTCCCATCACCAAGTACTGGGCTCACGTGGTAGGCTGGGCTATTTTATCATGTAAATTATCTTGAGTTCACATAAGACAAACATTATTGTTTTTGGTCAGTTTCTGTTCCAAACAAATGACAATGACCTGGATCAGACAGCTTTCACAATGGCAACTAGTGCTGTAGTAGACACCCTGTGGTGTTGGGTTACTAGTACATTATGTAGCAAGTGGCAGGACAGATTTTGAGGGGCTGGTCACCATAAATGTGCATATTAAACACTCTGATAGCAGTACTTTATGGTTCTTCTACACAGGACCTCCATGGCTGGTTCTATGATGTCCTGATCACAACCTTGGTTAATGATCGATGAGTAAATTAACTGCTCCTTTTTTGTTTGTTTGTTTGTCTGCAGCTGTGTTACATGATATTCCTGTTCCTGTTGTCGCTCTCCGGGCTGCTGCCTGGCTGTGGGAGCGCCCTGCTGGACGTGGGCATCAGTCTGTGGATGACGACTTCCATTGTCGAGCTCATCCGCACCATCTACAGGGACGCGGAGGTGAGATTGTGGTCCCAGTGTCCTGTAGGGAACATTATGTAGCAAGTGGCAGGACAGAGTTGGGGGGCTGGTCACGTGTTTTTGCTCAGTTCTCCATCTCAAAACAAGTAAAGTCAATGAGCTGGACCAGACAGCCATCACCATCATGTTACTAGTACATGTAGCTGGTGCTGTAGCAGACACCCTGTGGTGTTGGATTACATTATGTAGCAAGACTTAGCGGTAGGACAGAGTTGGAGGGGCTGGTCACCAAATAATATGAATGTGTTTTGAGTAAGAATAAAGAGAGCAGTAGTATGTTGGTCTAGACTACATGTATGTGAAGGTAAAAATGGTGTATAATAATAATTGCTTTAATTGCAAAATATAACTCTCGAAATTCTGGTTTTCCTTTTCCTCTCCCCAGATGTTTCGCCGGTCCTCCAGTCGTGAGTACAACTACTGGCTCTACATGGAAACGACCTTGATCGTGGTGTTCTGGGTGGCGCACTTCTTCATGAAGGTGGTGGGGACGCGGGTGGGGTTCGCTCACCCGAAGGACGCCAAGCTGCTGATGGCCATCATGGTGTTCTTCTTCTTCCTACGGCTGCTCTACGTCTTCGCCCCCAACAGTCTGCTGCTCGGACCCAGGCTGGTCATGCTCAGGAAAATGGTAATTTTTTTGTGATGAAAATTAAAGGAAGTTGAATACAGGCTAGCAGAAGTAGATCAGCTTTTTTTTTCTTCCAGCTGCATATCAGACCCACATTGTTCCAGATTCACATTCTTCTGGCTATTTGTGTTGTTCCCGTGCTTCCACAGATTTTGATGCACATCGGTGATCCCAAAAATCCAGATCATGTGTCCCTCAGATCCAGATTGACCTGTTGGTGTTTTCTAACTGCTGGTAGTGTACATTTGTACATCAATGTCTCTTTCTTTCTCTCCACAGATCACAAAAATGAGCTGGATAGAAACACAGTGATCCCACTGATCCAGATTTTTCCCTTTTCCAGATCCAGATCGACCTGTTGGTGTTTTTCCGTCTTCTCGTTGTGTTTATGTGCATCCACGGCGTGCTGTCACAGATCCTGCTGCAACCATGCCACTGTCAATAATGATCACACTGATCCAGATTTTTCCTCCTCTTTTCGAGATCACATTAAATTTTGTGACAATGTTTTTTCCCTTTGTTCCAGATCCAGATCGACCTGCTGGTGTTTTTCCGGCTGCTGGTTGTGTTTATGTGCATCCACGGTGTGGTATCCCAGATCCTGCTCCAACCCTGGCATGAGCTGGACAGTGATGTGATGAAGATGCTGGTGTGGAGACCCTGGCTGCACGTCTGGCTCACTCCATACGGCTACCTGGAAGGTCAGATTGAACTTAAAAGCTTTCTAGGTACTAGTGAATGTACATGTAGTTAATATATATATGATCTGACATATTTTAACAATAACTACACCAGAGAGTATCATTGCTTTTGTTTGGACAACATATGCAGGTCTGGAGACCCTGCCAGCATGTATGGCTCACTCCATACGGCTACCTGGAAGGTGGGGTATACTCGGATGCCTCTCCCAAGCATTGTACCTGTCAGCAACAACCCTTTCCATTATCATCTGTACAGGTAACTGTGAGGGCCTGATCATTGAACTGAACATTACCATGCCCACCTGTAATGTAACACCTGTAACACACCTGTCCATTGTTGTACCTGTACAGGTAACTGTGAGGGCCTAATTGTCGTGCCTCCGCCCAACCAGCCTCCCAGCTGGTACTCCCCCAACGTTACCATGCCAACCTGTCCTGCGGAGACTTCAGACGCGTGTGAGGGGCACTGGTACCTCTACCTCTCCCTCACCTTCTACCTCATCTGTGTGCGCTTTGGCCTGCTCACTGTACTCTTCGCTATGTTTAGGTAAGTTGGTTTGCTTTCTTCAGAAGACAAAAAAGGCAGTCAGTGCTTCAAGACTTAGTCATGAAGTTGGGGTTGCCTTGAGTGGTGGGTGTGTCCTTTATAGTTTAACATCCAGTAGTACATGTATATGTGCATAGAGTTGTTGTGTCAAAGCAAAGTTATTCACTCATTGTTTGTAACTCGAGGTCTTAACACATGTTAAGAGTTAATAGCAATGTTTACTTTCAAAGTTACTATGGAAAGAGATGCTATGGAAACTTGGTATGTGAACTTGTACTTATTTTAGAAGATGCTGCAGGAGTGCATGCTCATCAAGGATCTTCTCGAAAGTAGAAGAAAGTCGGGCCACTATAGTTACTGTTGCTATGGAAACCATTGATAGTCTCCTCCTTCTTGGGTTTTCAGTAAGACATATCAGAGAGTACAGGATGAGTCGCGGGAAATCTGGATGTACCAGCGATACAAACTGATTATCGACCTGGACCGGCGTGACAGCCTGCCGCCACCGCTGGTCGTGTTTCACTACATCTACATGCTGGGGAGGTACCTGTGCTGGTGCTGGAAGTGCCGCATTGTCACCAAGGTGAGTGGATGGGTGGTTGGTTGGTCAGTTTGTTGGTTAATTGGTAGGATGACTGTTTTATTTGTAATGAGTGCTTAAGTTGTTGTGGTTGGTTGGTTGGTTGTGTGTGTTGTTGGGATGGTTGATGTGCATGTATCCATCAATTCACTCACTCATTCATTCATCCATTCAATGATTATTCCCTCCCTCCCAGGTCCGTGTGGCATACGGTGAGAAGACCTACTCCAGTCAGGACATGGTGGATGGAGGGTTAGACATCCCTGATGGAGCCGAGCTTGACGAGGACAAGTTCAGTTTCTGGAAGTCCTGCGCTCACAGCTACAACTCCAGGGAGAAGAAAAAGACTGAACAGGAAAACAAGCAGATGACACAGACAGACGTGTGAGTTTGGGGCAGGTGCTAGTGACACTGTATAAGAGTTAGGGAGGGTTAGGGTTAGGGTTTTTGAAGACTTGCTGATTTGCAGAGCGGCACCAATCGAGTAGGGTGCACCTCTCCCCTGAAAATGTCTGGGGAGACTGCTGGTTATACAGTAGGGAGATAAGTTTTTCTTATTGTCAAATACAAGACTTGTAGTTCAAAATTAATGGATTAGTCATGATTTCAAGATGTTCCACCTTAAGATTTTCTCCCCCCCTCCACCGCAGCTATGAGCAGGTGAGCGAGGACCTGTCCCGTCTGGACGTGCGGGTGAGGAGGAGGCACGACCGTCTCCACGACCGCGTCGTCAAGGTGGAGAAGATGATGCAGGAGAGCATGCTCACCCTGGAGACCATCAAGCACCTGCTCCTGAAGAAAGGTGGGTCACCATGGTTACTGTTGCTATGGTGTTGCTATGGAAACTGAAAATGGTTGCTATGATGATGCAGGAGAGCGTGCTCATGCTGGAGACCATCAAACACCTCCTGAAGAAAGGTGGGTCACCTTGGTTACTGTTGCTATGGTGTTGCTTCTGTGTTTTAAGACCATGTCAAGTCTTGAAATGACATAAATGTGAGCAATGTTATGCTTCAGGACATTTTATGATATGTTTTAGAAAGTTTTCAAATATCAAACCCATGGTCAGCTAAGATTAGTCTAAAAATGGCGCATAATAATATCTCAAACCTTTGAACCTTAGCATAAACAAACATGGTGGAAAATGGACTTTGACCTAAGGTCTGGCTGCCACTTGTAGAAGGGAGAAAATTTTAAAACATGGCAGTTGTACCATTAAATTTGGAAGTACCTACATCTAGTAATGCTTCCACGAGTGGAAGGAATCATCACCATAACCAAAGACAAGGGGAGTGTCACACTGAGAGCATCACATTTGGTGAGAAGGGATCGGAAACTGGGCAGTTCAACCTTCCTTTTGGTGCTACAGTGTCAGATGAAGGGGAGATCTTTATCGCAGACTGCTGGAATCAGAGAATCCAAGTCTTCACCCTGCAGGGAATGTTTGTGAGACAGTTCACGACAAGCAAACAAAACTTGGTCCCACATGATGTGGCCGTGGACGGGGAGGGGAACCTGTGGGTGGTGGGGAGGTCAGGTCTTACTGAGTTAGCTGTGCAGTACCACAAACATGGCAATGAACTGAGAAAGATTGACCTTGGGAACTCTGGGTGGTGGAGAGGAGTTGCAGTGGACACCAGAAGGAACTGCATCCTCATCACACAAACCACCACAGGAGACAGGGGCAGTCCACATGGCAAAGTGTTGTTGTTCAGGGCAGATGGGACATGTATTCAAGCTGTTGACAGAAGACAAATGTTAGAGAACCCAATCTACATCGCCGTGGATACAAAAGGGAACATTCTTGTGTCAGACTGTGAGAAACATTGTGTATTTGTGTACAGCGAGGACCGACAGTTTCAGTTCAAGTTTGGAGATGAGGGAAGTGGTGAAGGTCAGCTATGCCTGCCCTGTGGCATCTGTACAGACAGGGCAGGGAACATCATTGTGGCAGACAGTGGAAACAAATGTGTGGAGATGTTTGACAAGACAGGAAAGTTCCTCAAACACGTCACTACAGACAAAAGGGGACCTCGGGCTGTTGCCATGGCAACACAGGGACAGCTTATTGTGACATTTTGGAACCACACAGTTTCTATACTTCAGAACTACTGAATTAACTATTAATGATTGTATTTAAACACTTGACCCTGATGGGACACACAAGACATTACACACCAGAGCTATAGTGCTACTATCACCTCTCAAGATGGAAGGATGCCTACTACTACATAGTGAAGTGTAAAGACTAGTTGAATTTAAATTTTTAAATGGTCTTCACTGTTGTTAGATAAAACAAGAAGAAAATACCTGTGTTAATCTTCTACTTACATTGTAATTGTATTCTTCTACAAAATTAGACAATGACAGACAGCTGCACAGCTGCAGGTTGTAACTTTTCAGACAAATAAAAATATGCTATAAATTGCATGTATCTGTGGTGTTTGTGTGTCTCAGAAAATGTGTGTTTTCTTTCATGTTAACATAGCTTTTGATTGTACCTCATTCAATTGGGAAATGAAGGTGTTAACTTAAAAATACAAATGTATATAACCTCCCACATACATTGCTGAGAGGTAAGAGAGCTGTGGTTGGTGTCAGTTGTCTTTAGAATACTTAGTCTATATAGTCATGATGGTTTAAAATTTCATGCAGTCTACCTGGTCCAGGAAAATTTCCCCTCAAAATGAGGGAAATGGCATTTCATGTTTAAAAGGATAAGACTATATTGCACCTCTGACACAATGAATACTGCCTTCGGTACTCAACAGTGTTACGTCAATAAATTACGGATAAATTTTGAGAGCCATCATATCATATCCTGATTTTTGTGTGTTCCAGAGAGTGGTGAGGTAGAGGGTGTTCCGACCACCCAGACTGGGGCAGTTCTCCACATCGCGGCCAGACAGTCTCCGTACTTCGGCACCAGCAGGAAGAGATTCCCGGTGTTCGACAAGTACGTTCCCTGGCGTAAGCTGTTCGTGGAGTATGACCCTCCCCGCTACACCGCCCCCATGGAACACTTCTCTGAGTGGTTCCGACAGTTCGCTGATGAGGTCAACCCAAGGTTGGTTTATCGCCTTTCTTGCTATTTAATCTTATTAAGGCCTTACTGATTTGTTTGTATATTAAATGACATTCACTGGGCAACCCAGAACTGATGTGAGCATGCAAATGGAAAAAAAAGTCACCCTTTTTTCAAATCTAATTGGTCAAGCAGGTTAAAGGAAAAAGTGTGAGCACATACAGCATGCATGTTATACCAAACAAAACTAGTGCACTAATATAATTTTGTTCTTTCACATCTTCTTTGACTTTGGAAGGCTTGGTGGTGCAAGCAAGTGAGCCCTGCCTCCCTTCTGTGGAAATATTTTTCTTTTCCTTTCAACGGGTTCTTTTAACACTAACTTACAGAAATGATGACAAATTCTTACCATGTTTTCCAGTGCCCAGCAGCCGGCCCCTGTGTGGAACGAGATCGTCGGGTACAAGATGAAAATCCGTCATGAGGGGGAGGGGGGCACGAGGGAGGAGGTCATGGAGGTCGATCGAAGGTCGTGGATCGAGGACAAGGACACAGGAGTCGGCATCCGATACAACATCACATCAGAGGGGGTGCCTCAGTAAGTGGGCCATTCCCTGCCTTGAACTGCATGACATTGTCTATCTAACTTTAGATTCTATAAGTTGTTTACATGTGCATCATGAAAAAAGCTACATTGTACACGCAGAGCTAATGGATAACAGCCCTAAAGATTGCACCTACGTACACATGTTTCTTGCAATACAAAAATCTTCCTTGAAAAAGTCAGAAATCTAGTACTTTTCTAAGTTCTTCTCTAACATTCATCACCTTTTCAGATCAATATTCAGTTACCACAGCATTTGGAGGTTATGCATAAATGATACTAGTACTACAGACATCTTTGATCATGATAGAATTATGCTGTATCCTTCAGATAATTCAATTGTTGCTTGTTACAGGAACCCAATGGGCAGAACTGGCCTGAGAGGCAAAGGGGCGCTGTTCAGGTGGGGCCCAAATCACAGCATGCTGGCCATATGCACAAGGTACGGTATCATACATGTACATGTACATAGTATACATACATTTTATACTGTACTTTTATGACCACAGCATGTTGGCCATCTGCACAAGGTACATGTAATGTCATGCATTTACTATTGAGGCAGTGTTATTGCCATCTGATCCATTGTGAAGTTGTTGCTGTAAAACATAATTAATAATATAAATATAGAATAATAATAATTGTTATATTTTTTCAGTCTTTGAATGAAATTTATTTAATTTTTTTCATCCAAAAGCTCATGCTGGTAATAGTTATGATTTACAAACAAGTGACCATTACACAACAGTAATTTATAGGCTAGCTAATAGTATGTTCTTACATGTATGTGGAAACAAGTAGGGCATTCAAGAGCATGCATATTTCCTGCTCCAGGTGGAAACATGCAGTAGACCCAGCTACAGGAGATGAGCAGGAGGAGTACCTACTGGTGGAGGGGAAGAGAGTTCTGGAGTTCCTGTCTTACAAGGAGCCAGACTTTGAGGAGTGGGCCATACCTGGGGTAAGTCGGCCAGATCAACGGGGACACAGTACTGTACTGTGATCATAGAGTGGAACTCTCTGCCACCAAGTAGGGGCATCATCACTATTAGATAGCTTTAAACATCAAAATACAGTTAGATTTGCAAATGTTAGGTGTAACAGGTTGTTTGGGGTAATATAGCCAGCTGCTGCCACATCGCTTGCCTGAGAAGTTGGTGTGTTACACCAAAGGTCAGTTATGCTGGCAAGAAATTTTCAATAAACTTGCCTACTTGCATCCCCAGAATTAAATGGCCTCTTTTGATAGACTTTGAAAATAACTTTCGAAAATTATAAAAAGATGCACTGAATTGCAAACAGCCTGTGATTGATAGATTAATTGATTGATTGCTGATTGATTGATTGATTTGTCCAGGCGATAACAGCAGGCCTAGAGAGTAAGTACAGTGTTCTCCATCGAGCGTTCTGCACCAAGGCACTGGGGAAGCAGCCGGCAGTGGTGGACAGGAACATGGACGAGAGCAAGGTCAAACAGGTGAGGCTCAAGGTCACACATGTAACATGGTTTTGGTTTTCAAACGTAAGCCACAACAAGTTATTTCTTTATCCAGGCCATTCAGGCATGGTTCTGGATAGTCATGTATCCAGAACTGTGCCTGGGGCAAATTTACGTTCTTGGATACATGTACATGTAACTTACATGGAGACTTTCCAGAACCATGCCTCAGGCAAATCTTTGTTCTTAGATACACGGAGACTATCCAGAACAGTGCCTGACACTAACCCATTCGGACATAGAACTACATCAGTACATGTAGATTCTGGGTTCAGGGTATGATAGAGACTGTCCAGAACCATGCGTGATCCTAACCCTAACCCATTCAGGCATAGAGCTAGACAGGCATGGCTCTAGGTACGACAGGGCCTGTTATGCAATTTTTCCATGCAATGTCTTGTATTACAGCTGTTTGAAGCGTACACAGCAGATGAGAAGGACAGCCCTCCCACAGACCGAGACGACCCCATCGAGACCTTCTCGGCCGCCATGATCTACCGCGGTTACGTGGACGACCCGCGGAACACGGACAACGCCTGGGTCGAGACGGAGGCATGGCACTTCCACTACGAGAGCGGAGAAAGGTTCTCGGAGGAAGAAATGGTCACCGTAAGTTCAACTATCTAGTAACTTACATATCACCAACTTTGCAACCACACACTTTGAAATTTGTATGCAATTGTGTTAGAATTTGTGATCCCCTTCAAAATAATTTTGCTACGTGCCTCAGCAGCAAAAAAAAAGTTTTCTAGACTTTGCTGAACTCTGCTTTTGCGTAGTGGTGTGAAACTTCCTTAGTTGATTAGTAAAATGGCCGCAGAGTGCAGTAGCTTGATGGCCATGTGCAGCCCAGTTTTTTTACGGGCTGGCATGGGGGCTGATCCATCCAGCCCAACCAGGTACACAGGAGGTTGTCTCGTGTCCAACCTGCGACTGTGTAGGACCCTGTGAGAGGGCAGTCCCCCCTGGAAGGGACTCATCAGGCTAAACTCGGTGTACATTTGCACAACGCGGAAGATTATGACCTGTTTAATGATGATTCCATGTGGTCAAAGTGGTAAATGTACTTTTCCCTTGTGGCCTGTTCAGATAGCAAAGTAGGGTCATAACAGTGTTTATTCTGTATTTAAAGAAAGGGCAGGTTAACAGGATATGAACTTATATTTTCTTTCATTTTTCACTCGCTTATTAATCTTAAACAGTTCTATTCACCCATATTATATGCAGATTTCAAATTCATAAACGTTACATCGTATTACTGGCCTAGGTCCTGCTTAACATAACTTGTGGACATGTCAAACATTAATCAACTGTTTGCATACTAGGCCGATCATAGTTCACTCAGTGAGTGAACGAGCATAGTTCACTCACAACGTCAAAACTTTTAAAGGATAAACCCTTTTTTCCCTTGGCATTACACATCATGTAAGTGTACTGTTAGCTTTTAGATATTGTTAAGCCCTTGTCATTGTATACTTCTTAAATTGAAAGTTTGAGAAACATTTTTCATTTTGACAGAAAAAGAGTAAATCTTCAGTGATTTTCAGTGTACTTCTCTTATGGAATAGTCCAATGCAAATATCTTTGTCAACGTCACATGAAGGTATACATTTGTAGTTACTGCACATGAACTGAGATTCGTGAATACATATAAGGTGGTTGAATGATTGAATGGTAAAAGTCCTTTATTTGCAACTACTTGCTAAATAAGAGCCATACAAGTGTCAAACAAGACGTGGTTGTGAATAAAGAACTTTGCTATACATGAACGAAGACATTTGGATCACTGCACAGGTGCTGTAAGGCACTCTGTATGTACACATTTTCAAATGTACATATTAAGTTTAGTTTTTCCTCAGTTGTAAGATAAGATTTAACCTAGGATGCATTATGCCCATGGATGCATGGAAGCCTACTTTTTTAAGGCTGTGTAGTGTAAAACTTCCTTAGTTGTAAGATGATAATCACCCATGGCTATGGTTAAAGCCCAGTTTTTACGGGCCAGCACTGGGCTACTGCTGGCCCAACCAGGTACCATCCCAGGTACCTGGGGAGCCCCCCCTGGAGAGGGGCTCAGCCATGGGGAGACCTCTGGTCTCTAGTGAGTTGGGCTAACGTCCAGTGTTGTCCCCTATCAGGAGGTGTACAATAATGCCAGTGGCCATGTCTTTGTACTGACAAGGTTAGATATCAGACTGTTACTTTATCTTTGAAAACAAGACACATTGAAACAATTTGGAGAAGTTTTCCTTTTCTTACCCTCCTGAACTCTAGGACTGACTTTTACCCTATTGTCCCTATTGTATACAATATAATGTACAACAAGGCAACTTTTTCCTTGCCGCGAAGCTCTGATGAACATATTATATGAGGACGTTGATCACGTGTCAAATGTTTACACAACGCAGGCAATTCCATTCCAGAACCTCGAAAAAACACATCCAAGAAAAATGGTACTTGCCTGTATTTTTCTCCTTTTGTTCCCACCTAACGTCTGCTTTTAATTCATTATTATTAATTGTAAAGCATACCATATTAACATCCCTTTTTATGTTTCAAAACACCATTCCATAAAAGTCTTACTTCCCCTTCTCCCTTTCCCTTGAAAATGGAATGGTCCCATTCAAAAGGCTCTGTTTACATGGATCTCAGGTAATGTTACATTCAAAGTCAACGTTACTCCACTCTAACAAAAGAACTGGTATGCGACACACACGACATATCTGCAAAAGGTACCTTCTTCACATCAATTGCTTGTAGGCACCAAGGTACCTGCCTGTTTCACCTGTATTCCTCAACTACCTCATTCCTTCTTCACTTTCTCACCTGCTTTGCTCCGTCTGTTTTTTCATCTGTTGTTTCACCTGTTCTTTTCTCACCTGCAGGCCGGCAGCAGGTGGCAGGAGGTGTCCCGGCACGTGAAGCTGTTCGCCAGCCACGCTTCAGTCATCCCCGAGGCTGCAGCAAGACTCAACGCTTACTTCTGAGGAGGTGATCTGCCAAGAGCTAAGAGAAGACTAGCCTATACCAGGCTTCAGAAGCAGTAGGAAAGTGTAGAAATTATAGCCAAACAGACAGATAACATGCGCAAGGTAGTTGGTCTGGTAAAGGACTACAGTTTTCCACTTTGTCTATTAATTTTGGCCAATTTCTACTCTTTCCAGCTGCCCCTGAAGCCTGGTAGAGGCTAAGAAAAGACTACATTTCATTGGTCATGTGTGGGAGATTGACAGTCTCTTAGCTGATCTTTTGGTGGCTGCAAGTATCAAATTGGTAGGGCAGTATCTATGCAATACGCCACTGTTTAAATAGCAAAAAAGATACATGTACTAGTACTATATGAAGCTAGACAAGCCTGAAAAGAATAAGCCTAAGCCTATGTAAGTCTCTGCTTGGAGAGTATAACAGCCTCAAAACAGCAAAATTAACTGCAAAATGTATAAGGTGATCTTCGAATGTGCCTGTATTTCTCAAAAAGCAACAAGGAATCTGTATTCTGAAGCAAAGTTAGACTCTACAATGTGTAGTTCCCAACACGAATGTTGGACCTATGGTAACCCAAAGTTTCAACTGTCCAACTCCAGTCAAAGAATGATATAAGAATCCACTGCTTCTATGATGTCTATGTTCTATGTTAATGCAGATACACAATGTAGAACATGTGCCTTGATAAGCAGTGGGTCATAAGTTACAAAAAGTTTATGGCACACCATCTCCAGCTCTGCCTGTAGTACAGTCGTTGATAGTTTATGCTAGGAGAAACAGCAACTATGAGCTGAAATGCAGCAAAAATGTTAAACTGTTAAACTGCACTAAGTTAGCTACAACAGCAACGGAGCTTATCTCTTTGCAATAATGTAAATTTTATATGTAGAAGTTAGGACCAAATCTTCCTCATAGCACAGTTGAGAAAAATGTCCAAAACTTGGATTAAGCCAGTGAATGCATAGATGATAAATAAAAATAGTATGAATCACGTGTCCACAGCATTTGGGTCAGATAGCTGAGGAAGACTGAGTGATTCGGTCGAAAATTTCTGGTGAGTCAAATTTTGAGTTGGAGAAAAGTTTAAGTTTTTCATAATGAATCACTGTTGCTTGCTAGGACCAAGAATTTCTAGTTTGCACAGCAAACTTGATTGCTAAGCTTGCTAAAGGAAAATAGCAAATCTATTTTGTATACAAAAGATACTCTACTTAAGTATTGTGAAAAGATTTCTTTATTAGGCCATGTTGATTTGATTATATGAATGACATCCACGAGCGCATGAATTTTCGGCCGTTTCCAAACAAAAAAAGTTTTCAACCATACTGTAAATCGTACAAAACAGTTGCAAAATGAGCAAAAATACACCATAAGTTACAAAAAAAATTAATAAAAACTATACCAATGTCGTAGAATGCCAAAATCAAATGAAAAAAGACGAAATTGAAAAGAAATGAACTTGAAGACTAGATTATTCACCAAACCATATTCTGTCCCATTTGCTCAACCCTCATGACCACGTAGATTTCATAATGTCGAAAACAACTTTTTTTTTTTGCAAAACGTTTTTTTTATTCGCACGCGCGCATCAATTTTGGGGTTCCCGGAGGATATCATCCATATAATCAAATCAACATGGCCTTATTTGCAAAATTAGACTATGTTAGACAGTATTCTCTTACATTGGTTTGAATGTTTAAGCTAGTACTTATGGTAATATGCAAACAAATGCATTATACCAGGTCCTTTAGTTAGAGTTCTTGTTTCTATATTGATATTTTAGTTTTCCTTTTTTTAGACTTTTTATGATAATTATCATATAATGAATGTTTCGTTACAGTATTATCTTTGCATGTTACATGTATATATCAAGAGACAGTTAGATTTCCAAACTTGCTGCTGAAATTTGATCTTTAGGATGAACAGTTTGATGTATTTACAGTTTGAAATGTTGCTTTTATTTTAGTGTGTTACAGGTTTTGCTTTTGTATTTGAACGCACAAGATTGGTAAAATGTCACCTGTATTTGTGAATATGGTCAAGATAGCAAAGTGTTTTACAATGTATGTGTCTTGATGACAAAGAACAGTATTGTGTGTGGAGCTGATCATGGACTGCCAGAAGTTCAAAATCTTTCCATGAGAGCAACAATTGTTTGAAACTGTGCTCATTGTTTTGCTTGATATATAGTCTTGAAATATTATATGTATGTGTGTGTTTCTGATTTTACATGCACTGTGTCCCTTTTAGGACACCCTTGCAAAGAGTGCTATGAACCAAAGACTACTTAGAATAAGACAGGTGTTAGTATTTCATAAATTGAATGCTTTTTAGACATCGAATGTGAAAAAAACACATCAGTTTTAAGTAAAGGCATTTCATTTTCAGCACTATTTTGTGACAAGCAGCCTTTCAGGTACTAGTATTTTGACATTTGTTGTTTGGTTAGCAGCTCATACATGTACTGATGTGTATTTTTTTAAGTACAGCATATTTTTTTTTAAGTAGAGTGTATTTTGTTTCTACTGTAGAGCAGTATTGGAAGACAGTTTCTAAGCTTAGCATTGGCCATGTGAGCTGATAGTCTTATTCACCTTTTTTTTTCAGAGTAAAGAGATATAAGTTTATCCATGCATCATGTCGTTTCTCGTTTATTTCATTCAAAATCGTCTGCCAGTTTTTCAACAACATACATGTACTCACAACCACTTTCCAAAAGACCCAAAAACACAATAAGCCACGTATAGTGCACAAAGTCATGATTTATTCTCTGTTGTCATGATTTGGAAATTACAAACATGGATACAGTGATGACAGTCCAGATTACTACACGTCATTTCATGACAAAAATTTAGTGCACAACTAAATATTTCTACATATTTCCACATCTGATGTAACTTAAACACCAGTACAGCTCCCCAACACGTCTTTTCTGCTATAGTATAGCACAAAACTGCAACAACACACAAGTCTAGCCTTCTTGAAAGGTTTTATAACTGGGGCTTATTTGGGTGGGGGCATCTGATTCACAATACAAATTTTCTGGTAATATCACTTCTATTTGGCCAGTATAAGAATCTGAGTACATTAAAATAGAAGTGATATACCATTAAAAAAAATGCAGCATGGAATCCTCCTACCCAAAAAAGCCCCAGGCATAGAGCCCACAAAAAGGCTAGCAAGCTTTCTTTATACCAAGGGTTTATGTCCAAGTTGGTAGAAAACTAAACATACATGTATAATATAAGTTATATTAACATCTTTCCACAGATGTTCTATTGCACAGATGGAAGTTGACAGGCACAAATGGCAAGAAAGTTAGGACCAAGTACCATAATTATACAGTATATATATAATATAGCCATACGTCTACTAGGAAGAAACTAATTAAGAATTGGGGAAAGACCCTAAAGAAAAATAGAATCCATTCTCATCTGTCTTTTGTCTTTACAACTGTATATCCATTACTAGAATTTTACTCTAGTCCCTGACTGTGTCTGTCACTGGTAACTTGTCATGGTACTTGTCACAAAGTACACAACTTGTCATGATCACATTCACATCTCATGGCCATGGTGACATGATTCTAGATACAGGAATGAAACAACAGCTATGGAAAATTAAAGGTGATAATCTGCATATTAATCACCCATTCATCATGTCTGTCCCAACACTATGGTCACACTTGCCATGGCTACAAAATCCTTATATCTGTCCTATTGCTATGGTAACACTGTTGCCATGGCTACATAATCACCATGTCTGCTCTGTCACTATGGTAACAGTTGCCATGGCCACACAATCATGTCTGTCCTATCACTATGGTAATGTAGTTGTGACCTCCATGTCTGTTGCCATGCCTACCATGTGACCATCATATCTGTAAGTGTTGTCCGTTATAATGTCTATACATTGTCATCTCATCGCCATGGGAACACCGTTTCCATGGTTACACGATCTCCTCCAGCATGGGTTCCGTCTCGTCCTCGCCACCCTCCACGTGGAGCGAGGCGTGCAGCATGATGAGGAAGAACGAGGCTCCGATGACCCAGAACACGGCCGTGCCCGCCGACGCCAGCCAGAACAGCGGGAACGACGCCACCGCCACAACCCCGTACTGCTGGGCAACACTAAGCTCCCTGTGAAGGATAGACACTGTGATGTGAGACCCAGAAACTGCACTGTGAGACCTGAAACACGGCCGCTGACGCCAGCCAGAAGAGTGTGAACAACGCCACCGCCACCAAAACTGCACTGAGAGAGGATAAAACTAAACTGTTAGACCTACATGTATTGTACACAGTGAAACCCTTACAATTGTACCATTTTACATTGTACAGTGTACATCTAATCTACTTCCTTTGTTTTTTGCCACTCATCATCAAGTTATCATAACAAGTTGTTTTATTTTTTGCTATGGACCAAAAGCCTTACTGATTAAACACATTCCTGGAACAGACAACAACACTTACTTTCCCATGAGCATGAGTTTCTTCTCGTCGCTGCGTATCTTGATGATGTAGCATGCCCCCAGGCAGGCAGCCAGGGCGATGAGTAGGAGAGGGTTGGTCAGGATACAGTATACCACCAGGCCCAGGAACACAAACAGGTAGTTACTCTGGTAGGAAGGAACGAACGAATGGTTTATTTCAGTTCCAACAAAATCAATAGGCTCTACCAGGCCCCTGGAATCATGTTATCTGTTTTCTTGGCCAATTTCTACTCTTCGTAGATGCTTCTGAAGCCTGGCAGAGGCTAGAAAATGAATACCATAGCACCAATAATGTAACTGAACTGAGGTATGGTTAACTTTACAATAATAACCCTCAAGGTACTGTTTCTAAACCTCCATTTTTCTCAGGCCACGAACTTTTGCTACTGTGAACATAACGTGAATTACGGTATTCCAAAAAAGGTCGTACCTGGTAGTACTCAACGTTCTTCATCACCCGCTTGCCCCACGCAGCCGGGTTTGCTGGAGCACGGAACTTCGCCGTGGCGATGAACTCTGCCCATGGTCGTACGTTGCCCCGCCTCTTTTCAAGCCACTCACGGGCAGCTGAATTAATAAATAAACAAACAAACAAACAACATTCAGGAAGATCTAGATTAGAACCTTGTCAAACTGTCAAGATCGCAAAATCAGAAAAGTTTCCTGATCCAGTTTTAGGGCTACATTAATTTCATAACTTGGTTGTCAGATTTTTAAAAATAACACTAAATTGAATTACATTGTAGTAGCGTTGAATGGCTGAGTTTGCGCCTTAAAATACACACTAGAGGAACTAATTAATATAAGGTGCTATGGTAAGGTGAATGGCTGAGGGCCTAGACTAGCAGACACTAAGAAGATTGAGAGGTCACAGGTTTGGTTTCTGTTGAAAAGCTAATAAACTTGCAAACAAACAAACACACTAGTTTTGTACTGACCTGGGCTGCTGAGGGTCATCATCTTGCCAGCCAGTCCCTGTTTCTGTTGGTCAGCTGGGATCTCAATATCTCCTGTCACCTCGTCCATTAGGCAAGGCTTAGACCCTGGGTAAACAGAACAATATATTATGACATCATCAGTACATCGCCATGGCGTCATAGGCAACACAACAAAAGAGAATTTGATAGTTGCAAACGATTGAGGCTTTAAACGTAGAAATCTCCAAGCAGAGGTTAGGTTGAACTTAAGGGTAGTAAACGTTTCCTATCACCTTCGTACCTTTTTTTTACAGAATCACCCTGCTAGTCTTCAGTTAAACAGTTATCATGGAACTTGTCAACGATATATACAGCGTCAATGTTGAAACGAAACGTTTAGAAATTCTACTTATTATGTAGTCTAGCAACGCCCTCCCACCCTACAGTAAACAGACAACTATTCCTCTCTTTCTTTAATATTTTGTACACCAAGAACTTGTTTAAAAGACGGAATTATACCTGTATCGGTCCCCACTCTCCTGGTTCTCCTGTTCGGACGGAAACTGTCGACAGTTATGACGAAAAGATGTGAAAACTGCGGGCTGCTTACGTGGAAGATACGAGTTGTTTCGATGTTAAAACCCTTTGACCTCTGGGCGATACCAAATTTGATTTTCGGGATGTTGGAGGCCCGATAAATTTGTTTTCTGTCGAAAACATTTTGCATCTTCTTCTTTAACTTTACATTTCAATGATTTTATGTGGCAAGTATTAGAAAGAAAACGATCTAGATTTAGAAAATAAGAAAAATAACCATATCAGTTAGAATCTCTACCTCTCAATATACAACAATGTCATCGTCGGAGATGGACAATTCCAAATGCAGATAAATCGGGGGAGTTGTAGTTATGCTAAAATAACCAAAAAGATTGACAGCATACCATTTTATTGATTTTAGCAAAAATTGCTTTATTAAAGTAAGTGATATAAAACAAGATGTACATCGTAAAATGCATTTTTTCCAACAATATCTCCAAATTCTCTACTATATAACGTTATATCTATACTGACAAAACAAATGTTCAAAGTTAAAAAATGACTCACCTGGCGTGTTCCTACGATACTGCAGCTGGGTATGTATGCGTGTATGTATGATGCATGTATGTATGTGTGTGCGTGTGTGTGTGTTTATATGTCGACTACATAATTAGAGAAGCTTTGGATGGTTATGTTATGTTGTTTGTCTTGAGTAGGGGTCGCTCAGAGGAAGTTCAAGCTCGATAATGGGTCTTCTAGTGGGCACAACAGCAGCTGAGCTTCAAAGTTTCAGGTAAAATTTTCTGGAAGTACCAAGTTCGTGATTTATATTATGAGTGGTAGAAGACTCTTGGTGCTAGGTAGGATGTTTCGGAATGATACATGTATATAAAGAAAAAAACGTTCCTGTTAAAGTGGAAATTTATTACAGTTCTTCAACCACAATGCCAGGGCAATCAGATGCCCTAACCCCACGCAAAAATAGCAAAACTATTCGTGTCGTATACATGTATATAGTTTTGAGTTTTTGCTTTACATGCGTCCTCCAAACCAGAAAACAGACAACGCTGAAAGTGTGTGATGCGATCTTATGAACAGTCGAGACCATCCTGTTAAGTTGGTGCGACTTGACAAATGAAAGCAAACTTCCTGGAGGAGTGGTTGGAACACGAACCATCGTTCCATTTGTTCCTGATGGCAACTGTCTCGTGATTTCCGGGCAAATACTCTGCACAGTCCTCGTTACCTTCATGGTTGTCAGGTTGTCCTGGATACCACCACCTGAAGTGTCCAAGAGCAGTGCCATCCTCCCACACCCAATGTCCTTCCTGGTGGATGTCGGTCAGTCCGAAACGAAAGAAAGCGCTGTTATCGACGGCATTCTTCAGGTTGATGAGGAAGGTGTTGGTGGCGGCATCGCGGGGCATGGCAAGGGTTCCGCCGTCAGAAGAACAGACCGCGACTGCACTGGTGTAGTCACTATCCTGGTTGAAGGCCTTGTAGCACAGTCGGCTAATCTGATGGTATACGTACCCGCTGGGGCAGGCTATGTAAAAAAAAAAAAAAAAAAAAAAAAAAAAAACATTGTAAAACGGAAACACATCCACCAAACAATGGTCAGCTCCATCTAAACAATATGGTTTTCATTGGTTTCGTGAACCAACATGACGTGTAAAATGTATCCAGTGTTAAAAATTCATTTTTAATCACATAGGAGGACACCTTAATGCAGCTGAGATATATAATTGAAAATGAAATGTATAGTTTACCTGTTCTGATGTAAATGACCATGCGATTAGCTCTTCCAACGAGATGCCCTAAAAGATAAATAAACAGCTAATGTAACAAACACACAATAAAAGTTTTATTTAGGCTAATAATAGGATATTGAGGAAGACCACTTTGGACGAGCTAACATCTACAATTCTACATTAACGCATGCCAATCTTCGCACAGATTGTTCCATTTTCTAAATTGTGGTAGATTGGCAAATTGGTAAAAGTTCGTTCCATTAGATCCTTGTTGTATTCCTTGAATAAAATAAAGTCACTGAAATGTATGACTTATATACGTACCGCCGTTCCAGTTGCTGCTTGTAGGTAATAAAGAAAACAGAATGTTCGGTCGCTGGTTGTCAGGCGGCCGCTCCCATGGGCAATGTCTTCCCTCAGCCAACACGAGCCAACCAGCATCATTGTGACAGCCGCCGTAGTTCCTATTGATGAAAAATGTCCTGCAATAAACAATTAAAAAGGAGATGTTTCAAAAGTTGTTGCTACTCCCTTGCATTTTGTTCGACTGCAAATAATGAAATTACTCATAGAATCCATTGAGTAATTAGCAAAACAAATATTGTTTTGTGGTTGGGGTTGTTGAATTAGAATCTGAAGGTTCTGTGCTCAAATGCATGCCAATCTCCAGTGTCGCGCCATTTCTTCCTTGACTCAGGTAAAAATACTTCATTCTCTCGGGTGTGCCATAAAGAGGGGGAGGCATCGTGTTTACGGACAGCCACTCCTTGAGATCGTTCATGAACCCCCCACATGTATTGAAACAATAGGGGCCTATCCCGGTGTGAGCGGTTCAAACCTCATAGTCTGGTCTCCGAGTTGACAGATGATAGTCACATGTCGATCATTCAAGAAATGGATACAACAGTGTGGCCTATGAAGGATTCGAGCACAGAACCTTCATATTATAAGTCAACAACCCTAACCACAAAATAATCTTGCCACCACAAAAAGTCCATGGTACAGTATTTTACCGGTCCAACATAGGGTCTCCTGTCACGCCAAAGAAGTTTTTACGCTCAGTTTTGATGTCGTTCCACGGAGAGGAGACCAGACGAGACTGGGAGAACCAGCTGAACTTGTCTGTGTTTTCTCCATTGAAGATCAACACGACATCTCCAGTGGAGGCCTCCAGTACAATCTTCACCTACAAACGGTGGGGAAGAACGTTCAAATAGATTGTGGTCAGTTCATCCCGGTTAATACATTTCATACATAATGGTAATGAATCAAGAATATCATCTAGCCGAGTTTTTAATCTGATTCAATAGGCATGTTTTTCATACAGTCTGATAGATAGATAGATAGATACTATTAGATAGATAGATATAGATAGATAGATATAGCTAGATATATAGATAGATATATAGATAGATAGATATAGATAGATATATATACAGTACTGTATAAACACAGAGGAAGTAGACAAAAAAAATCAATGAAGAAGTAAATAAAATAAATCTCAAATACAATAAATCTCATAAACCTAGCCTTCCGATCAAAGTCAATGACAATAGTATAGATAAAAGATGGGTACGTAGCGAAGCAAAAGAAGATAAGACAAACGTACTTGTTTAATACCGAGCGATTTCCATTGTTCTACCAAAGGGCTCTTGTCGTGTAAGACGCTTGCACCAGGGCCGGCACTCCAGGCGTCAAGGGCTCTCTGTCCGGTCCCGTTCACGGTGGCAAATACTTGAAGCCATATTGTATCTGGAGGAATGCGGTAGTGAAATCAAGATAAGACTTATTCTATGCAAACATTGTGGCTATTGGATGTTTCAAAGCAAAGGTTCGTGTATCCGTAGATAATTTCATCAGGTCAACAAACATCTGTCCTCATTGGCTGTACTGTAACCCAAAACATTTTGAGTGGCTCCCATGAGGCTTATTTTGTACTGACCTATGAACTAAATTAAAAAAAGGTTGGTAAATAACAAAGTTCTTTGATCACAACCATTTCTTTTTACGAGCCGACGTTTCCATGACCGCCTGTCATCTTCATCAGGGCAATTCTGACTGATTTGCTGTGCAATGACGCTAGATGTTAATGTGATCAACAAACTTTCCTATTAAAGGTCACTATGTAGTCTTTATATTTTTATCCTTGTCTATTTAGCCTCCGTAAGTGTCTGATGTTGCATATGGTAGAGAAAAAAATATTGATTTGTACATCCGCCATGAAGGTTATTTTTTCAGGTTTGGCCATGGTATATACGTAGTGGCTGTGTTCCGCTTGTGTATGTATGTATGTATGTATCCATGTATGTATGTATGTATGTATACTATCAATTCATTATGGGATGTGTATATGCTGTCTATGACTGAATGGAATGAGGTATAAGTTAGTTGGGTGATGATGATGATATTGCAAAGGACGGCAGAATGACAAGATTAATTGCACATTATGATAAGTAGAGCTCTTTTAATAAAACGAAGACAAACAGATCTGAGCTGGAAATAACATGTATCATCACAAAGCAATGCACAACACAAAGCAATGAAATGTGTAGCCATACGAAACAAATTGTCAAATCATATGTTGGATGTTTCTTAACGGCTTCAATCAGAGCAGGTGTTAAATGTCGTCTTCTTTGCAGATATGTGAGAGTTTATTGTATTTCATCTGTTCGTCTCCTGGCAGCTCATGCTGCTGTCAGTCAAAGAAGCAAATCGACCGTCATCTATATAACGCGCAGTCGACGACTCAGGACAACAACGAATTGTTATAGGTACTAGTTACATTAGTCGCTATATCACCATGAACTCCCCTTGCGGGTTATTTAAGCATTACTCATAGAACTATCATTCTTTTTAGCAATTTTTTAGACCCATATCAGATATCTACTAGGTGAACCCTGGCTATCTAGGGATTGGCAGAGACATGTGCAAACCGCGTGCCCCCAGGAAAACCAATTGAGTCGGCGGAAGCAAAGCCGTAGTAAAAAAGGGAGAAGGTTACAATAGGGGAGTTGTGCTTGATCTTGTGAGTGCCAGGCGTAGTGATGCGCAGTTGGGCAGCGGACAGGTCAGTGGTAGGAATTCGTACCCATGACGTGGAGGATGGAAGACGGTGTCCGTCATAGAGGAGTCCGGATTTCTCAGCGGTTTTTATAACAATATTAACGTAACTGTCAAACACTGAACCCGCGGCATCTACAGTAGAGAAAGTGTAGTCAGCAGCAAAGTATTCAGTCGGAGGAACGTACATCATAAACGGATCTCCCGTTGTAGAATCAGCCTTTACCCCCTTACTATATTGCAGAACCATGATTGGCTTAGAAGATGTGATAACCTTGTACGCGTTAGACGGAACATCCAGCTCCCAAAAGTCCCCCGAATGGATTACTCGACTTCCATGTCCGGTGATACTGACTGTGGTGCCGTCTCTGGCAGCGACGATGCGGAAGATATCGCCCCCTGTACGGACAGCAAGAGGGACTGTAACAAACCGCCTGCCCCAGGAGTCCACAGGGGGGATTTGCTCCAAGATGTGGTCACAAGCGGCGATTCCAGTAGGGACGTTGGCACACACAACGCCCGACATGAGGGTAACAGGCTTGTTTGATGTGATATGTGTGCCCGTGAGGTCAGATCCTTGGAACTGAACAGCTTCAAATTTGTTCAGAACCAATCTGACTACACTTCCAGTAGAGTAAGGCACCCCTTGGTATAGTGTAGTCCCCCGTAAAGTAACCTCAACGTCTGTGTTGTCTTCAGTGCCAAAAATGCCAAATTCTGATGGTCCCAGCGAGGTGTATGAAGCCACAAAGTATTCCTTTCCCAGTACATCTTTTGGGAGACCAAGGAACCCGTCCGTTGACTTGTCTACCTTGTTGACACCGTACACGATTATTTCAGTATCTGATGTAATGGAAACGCCCTTCCGTGCCTTTTCATTACCAGTGAGCGCGAGGGACGGGGGAAGCCTCACGACCTGTACTGCTGCATCTGTGACCTTCAGGCGCCTGGTGAAACCCGCACCAGGGGCAGAGATGGTGACCGAGGCGGGAGTCGAACTTGCACTGGTGATGAACAACTCAAGCTGTAGTATGTAATCAACGTTTTGGAGAAACCCTACTATGAACTCAGTACCTCTGTTGTCCGGAGCTGCAACAATGGGAAATGTTTCTGTTAACATACAAAACTTCACAGCCACTACAGTATCAAACCCCTCACCATTTCCTGGGCGATCAGCGTTGCACCAAACAAAATTTTAGATACTCTGGACTTTGACTGTCACTTTTGATAAAAGAACACAGAATGGGTGTCATATTTACCAACACATGTGACATCACTCCCAGACCATGTACCATCGGCTTGGCAGGTCCGACTGTTGTTGCCGCTCACGTGTAGCTCGTAGCCTGGGTCACAGGAGAAACTGCAGTTCTCAGGAAACCGGAAGGAGGAGCCGTTATCACAGGATATTCTCCCATTGGCGGGAATGGGCAGTACTGGGCATCGGACAGCTGTAGAAAATACGTAACAAATCCTGTTTGAATCTTAGATAACGGTTACTGTCTTACAACACAGATCATTGGCATTCAATAAAAGATCTCATTTTACAAGACGCATGCTCTTCATAATGAAACACATCGCTACATTTTAGCTGTCAAGAAACTTTTGCGTACTTCTATCTGGGTATGTTCAGAACAGCGATTCACGAATTTTATTCAGCGTTAAAGCGATTTCACACTTACGGACACATTCTGCGTCGTTTCCAGACCAGGTTGCATCAGCCTGACAATGTCTCTCACGGCTGCTCGCAGGAATCGTGAGCTCGTAGCCTCGGTCGCAGGTAAAGTTGCAGGTCTCCGGATAGCGGAATTTGTAGCCACTGTTGCAGGTCATTCTACCGTGTGGTGGACTAGACATGTTCGGGCACTTCACAGCTAATGCAGTTTTAAAGTAAGAATGGCAACGTTTATAAAAAAAACTGGGTATAACTACACAAACAATATGATTCTATTGTGAATGCTTTCAGAATCTGTCATAATTTTAGATACCGAATAATGATGCTGTAAAAAATTCCTGAGCTCGATGCTATGTGGTTACCATATACATTATTTTGAGTTTGATCGCGTCTCAATTGCGAAATACACAGAAAAAGATGTACCTAAACACGGTGTGGTCTCTGTAGTGTTTGTGTCGAAAGGAATGGTCCAGTTGCCGTCCGGTCCACAGGAGTACTCGGCATAGATCAGCCTGTCGTAACCAGGGTTACAATGGAGAAGACAGACGACCTCGTACTCCGCCGCCGTGCTGTCAGGTGATTGGCAGAAGTCAGCTGCAGGGGATGCTGGGATAGAACACCCGAAATAACCGTTCTCCGGTTCAGCGACCTGTGAGGATGAAACATGTACTTGCAAGTTATGTCATAAATTACGCATATGTGTAGTCCCCATGTCGGCGGACTCCATAGATCCAAGATGGCTACCTCTCAATCAAAATGTACGGTACATTTTTAACACTTAAATCTGACAATACAGAAGAGTATACAGGATTCTGTTCATCTGTAGATTCAAGACTTCAATGTATTCTCTGAAGCGTATTTTCATCTGGAAACCCCTTTCGTTCAAATTTGTTTGTCCTGTTTAGGAATAGAGGGCTTGGAAACGCTGGTAAAAGAATTTTACTGACCGGAAAAGGCGGACAGGAAGTCCGTTCGCAGCGTCTCCCGTCCCCGATCGTCCCGACCCGGCAGCGGCAGCTGAAGGTCTGGTGGCCCGTCAGGTCGCAGATGCCATGCTCAGGATCGCAGTCGTGCAGGCCGAGCCGGCAGTAGTCGGAAGGGACGCATCTACGAAACGGTTGAAGGAAGATTTTATTGACATCTCCAGCATTTTTCGAAATCCTGTGCACGGTTGGTTCTCTCAAAGTGAAGAAATACGACCTACAAACAAAAACGGCACATTTAAAGAAGCAAAGATGTTTTTTATCACCGTAAAAACGTCTTCACCTGGGCTTGTCGCTCCACCGCCCACTAGCCAGACACCTGAAGCTGTGTAGACTGTGGAGATGAAGGTCCTGCTCATTGCCGACTTTGTACCCGGGCTCACACGTCAGGCGGCAGGAGTCCTGGTACCTGGTACCGCCGCACGCCAGGCTGCCGTTGGCAGGGCTCTGGGTGTTGAAGAAAATGTTTCTGTTGTTGTTTTGAGCGACATTGTGTTATTCAGCATTTCAAGAAGACTTAAGGCTGCAGTCAATAATCTTATTTGGCTGATTGTGCAACAGTTTTGATCGAAACAAAAATATATCGAGATACGTACAGTAAGGTTGCCGCAGTCCTTCTTCTGACAGAACAGGTCTGGTCCACCAACAACTGGCTGGAGCACTACAAAGGAACAACATTAGAAATATAAGGGAGCTAATTTATTATAAAGGATGGAGAAAACGTCAATTCTACTACAATTTTGTGTATCTCGTGACTGCATGTGCACTTTGGTTTCCTTTTGCAGCCTGTTCAAGAAAGGTCGCTGGAAAAGCAGCAGAAGATTGTACCTCCCTCCTGCAGGCTCCAGTTGCCGCTGCTATGACAAGCTACGGTCTGGTGGTTCGTTCCTTCGTACCCGTCCGCACAGGTAACTCCGCAGGTGTTCCCGTAGGTGTGTCCGCTGGCGCACTGTAGGGCGGTGTTAGGGAACTCAGGAGGGGGTCCGCAACTCACTGGTAAAAGTAGATGAGTACTTTGTCAAAATCTTCAACAAAAAGTGTCCCAAAAGCTGTGCATTTAAAGTAGTCTAACTTTGTACTGGGTTGTTCACTTTTAGCTTCTAAGAAGAAAGGAGTAAAGAAGGCAATATTGATGTGAAGGAACAGTCTCGGTATACCTTTTTTCCACCAAGATTTTTAGTATTACCTGGAATGCACTCCGGCTCCCCACTCCAAAGTTGGTAAAACTGGCAGGTGAAGTTATCTTGTCCCGGCCGTTCGTAGCCGTCCTGACAGGTGAGATGACACGTCTCGCCGTACGTCGTACCTGTACAGGTGACGTCTCCGTGTGCTGGCATCTGTGCACGGAGGAATTGCATGTTAGTCTTAAACACTTCGTTCTAATCTCAAAGCAGATGTTGCCCGTCTAACAATCAATAACCACATCAGAAGATGATATCAGATCGCCACTTGCCAGTCTCCTTTTTCTGACTAGTTGCAATTTTCTCTTCCGGTATCTGCTTAGACATTGGGCCTACGTAGAATAATGTAACAGGTAAAAGTATTTAACAATTTGAATGCAATTTAAAGATACTCACCGAAATGTTTCCACAGTCAGCGATGACACAAGCCAGAGTATGTGGGATGATAACGTCTGTAAGAAGAGAAAGGGTCCATTAGAATATTCTCAGTAATTTTGGAAATCAACGAAATCTGGTCATCAGCACAGTTGTTGCTAGATTTGGATAAGAAATAGATTTATTAATTCTGACATACAGGGATCCAGTGCCTGATGAAAACAATAGATGTGTAACTTTCCCCACCTGCTGACACGGCATTTTCCATCTCTGTCGTGTTTCCCCTGCGGAAGGCGGTCCAGTTTCCGGTCCAGCTGCAGCCCAGGGCGTGGTCTGTTTCCGGTAGGTACCCTACGTCACAGATGACGTCACAGCGGTTCGAGAACACGTGACCCTGGCACATGTACGAGCCGTGCGGGGGGTCCTCAGGTGGGCTGCAGGTTACTACAAGACACACACAATGAGACCGAAGGTCCAAATTGAAAAGTAGAATTGGGCGTGATTATCTATGTCAATAGAGAAAATGGCTCAACGATAATTATAAGTTTGATAAGTATTAACCCAAAGCTTTACAAAAACAATGACACCCTACCTGGGTCGCACTGTGCGGGTTTGTCCCAGTGTCCTGTTGCGTTGCACGTCAGTACAGGGTGCCGGGGCAGGTAGCCTCGCTCACAGACCACTCGGGCCTCTGACATGTAGGTCGTTGAGCTGCTGTTGAGTTTGCCATGAGGTACATTCTTTGAAAAAGAGGAACACATGTTATTCGTGTTGTCTTCAGATTGGAAGTTAATTAATTGGTTAGGTAGATAAGAGATTAGAGATGTGGGATTGTTGTTATTTTCTGTTTAGATAAGAGGCTAGAAACGATTACTAGTACCTCATACTCTCCTCCGCAGTCCACGATTCTGCACACTGGATGCCTGGTCGCCCCAAACGTCTCTGAAACAAACATTCACAAATTACTCGATCGTCTCACCGTGTTTGGGATAAATATACGTTTTTGGATACGCGGAGATTATTCAGAAACGTACACAATCCTAACTGTCACTCATTCAGGCATAGAGCTAGATGGGCACGGTGCTGGATACATTGTGGGCCGAATTCTTCCTACCTAGGCGAGACAGAACCTGCAGAAAGTCCAGGTTGGCCACGATGTCTTCGAGTATTGGGCCGATCCATTCCAACAACTGCCGCATCATGTCGAAGTCGATGATGTTGTCCTCTGAGATTATGTCTAAATATGTTTTCACAATAGGCAGGTGGGGGGCGTTAATCTTAACCAAAATGCCATGCGCCGCGTCCGCGTAGATTTCGTCGGAGATGCCGAGGTACTCGAACACCCGAGGGTCGGTGTTCGGCATCGTGTCGGCAGCCCGACCGACGCCGACGAGTGTCGACACGACTTCTGGCGCGATCGGCGCCCATCTGCCGCGGTTGCAGAACAGCAGGCCCGCGTCATCGGTCAGGTAGCCCACGTCACACTTGGCGATGCACATGCGCACGTGGATGTTGTAGTAGGCGATGCTGGTGCAGTTAAACTGGCCGTGACGCAAGTCGGGAAGTGACGTGTTTCCGCAAACTGAAAAGAAGCAAAAAAAGATCCTCAGAAATCAAAACAGTATCCCTTTGGCTACGCTGGACTTTTGGCACAAACAGATCTTTTACTGGTTTGTTGTTGTTATTTAGGCTTACATGTGACTGATAAGACCAAAGCATGAGTATGGAGCTGCTAAAGCAGGGAGTTCTCGCAGTTAAAGCAGAGGTGTAGAAACTTGTACGTGCGGGCTACAGTAAAAAGTAACTCACACTCCTCTACAGGCGGCGGCACTGTTGGTTGCTGCACGTATCCAGGCGGCAGTATTGCTGATGTGTCCCCTCCGGCGGCCTGGAGCGCCAACTGGTACCACCTCTGCATCTCCGGGGAAAACTGCTGCATCCACGCGGGTACCGGCTCCGGAGTCTTGTATACTGTCAAAACATCGGGAAAACATAAGAAATTGAAAGGCTCCGAGAATGGAATGCTGTCGGAGATGCCATGTTATTTTTCGTCAATGATTGAAGAAAAATAACATAGAACCCACTGGCCTATTCAAAACAGCTTCACTGTTTTCAGACAACTTGGTCTTTTAGTTCAGTCGTCTTGAAACTGTAACATTCTCGATGTAAATTTATCTACGAGAAACACGATGCACTGAGGTATGAAAAACTACTTCCCAACCCAGTGCCGACCTTTGTTGAGTAGTGGTCGGGAAAGTGTCCTGATAAGTTCCTGATTGTGTGACAGGGGCTTAATCTAAGTCACTCACCTGGTATGACGTTGGTCTTGAAGAGGACAGCGAACACCACCGCTGTCAGGACGGCCAGGCAGTAGAAGATGGCCGCGAGGATGAGCAGCGTGTCTGGCCGCTTCCTGGGCGGCGGGTTCAGGGAGGAGCCGTACCCATATAGCGGCGGGCCGTACGGCGTCCACATGGCGCCGGACTTGACGTGCTTCCCGCCGAACAGGGAGTCACAACTCGGCTGCCTCTTTGACTTTTTTAGTGGAATCTGTGAAAAGAAGTAGAACATACTTTTGAAATTACCCAAGACGACCACTCGAGGGACCAATAAAATCTGGTTTAGGCAGACAGGTGGTCACTATAGACAGAACTCCTCATGCTTGTGTCGATTGGAAAATTATGTAAGGATCCACCGAAAAGTGGTCACATTGTCATTGGAGAAGTATCAGAACAAACCTAAAGGAAACACAAACTTTGTTTACTTCTATATCTGTAATACAACAAAGTGCAGGTGGCAAAATGAAAGCAGAGCAATGAAAAATATATAATGTATAACCTAGTACCTCCCGAAGATAGTTTCATCAGCTTGGTAGTTTATAGGATATATATAGGGTTTTCTTCACCCCTATATCCTATAAAGTGGGAATAGTTTCTAACCAAAACTATTCCCACCTTGCTTACGTTTCCTTGTCTATCAAACACCTTCTTCAGAACTTCTGACTGGAGTTCTGCTTCTCGCCAGTATGTAGCCGGTGTAGGGTGGCGCCTTTTTGCGCGAAACGCAAGCAAGGTAGGAATAGTTTGGTTGTGTATGAGAAAACCTCTCGAACCTAGTACCTTTTGCACTTTTGACTCCACTGATGCAGTCTGCTTGGTTTCGTCGTCGTCATGAAGCACTTCGGCCTTTTCTTCAGCAGCAAAATACCTCGGAACAGGCCTAGGTACAGTAATATTGAGCAAATATTGACAATGTCCTTTGTGCTTATATATTGTGACCTCTTATTGGGGATGAAAGGTAAGCCACCATTGAATGTATGCTTTCAGGTCAAGGACTAAATGCATCTTGTTATGCCGCCATTTAAGCTTGTATAACGCTTGGAATAATTCCCGAGCATATATAGTATCAATGTTTCCGGCTGATTTTTGCGACACTGCTTCCCCTTTCTTGTGTTTTATGGCGACGCTTCAGGCTTATTTGTTAGCCTTATTTCATCTGCTTTGAGATTATGCTGGGACTATGGCAAAGCAAATGTTTAAATTACTTACCGATCATCTGGCAGGTCGGGAGGTGATGTAGTGTCTCTGGGAACGTCTTGGTCTTCACTTTCACTGCTGAAGTCTGGTGTCACGTCCGTCTAAGACATAGTGTTGGGTATAGTATTAAAATCAAGTGGCATTGTTAGAGATGTATTATTTGGGGGGATTTTTCGGTCTACCTCTCACTGCATTTCCCTCTGACACCCGGCCAACAGACCCAGCAAACTTCCTGTTGGCTCTTTGTCAACATTAGGGACTTGACTGCCTTTTTTCTAACCCTGATTTTTCTGATCAGCACTTCCTTCCATCTTGACCGATCTACGGTAACCAACCCACTTCTAGCCCCTCTACTGCATTTAGATACCAGTCAAGAAAACAGACAGACAAACAAACACACCCAACCAAAACAACAAGAACATTTCCTACTTGGGATTTTTGAGTCTCCTCCGAAACCCTCAAGTCTCCCCACACGAACGACCTCTCGGCTTGCCTGCAAGGCATCGAAACCTGCGGATGGAAATTATAATTAGTGACACTATCCAATGAAGCAGGGTTCTTAAGAAAAATGGGTATACCGAAAAATGGTAGTTCCATAGCCTTTTAGGGGCAGTTGGTTGTTTATCCAATGTGTCTAGGGCACGGTATTGGAAGGCCGCGGCGCCCATCCCTCTCCTCCCACCGCCGTTTACAAACACTGAAGTCAGGTACCCATTTTGCACCTGGGTGGAGTAGGGAGGTTGTGTAAAGTGCCTTTTCCCTGCGATGGACACAATGTCTATTCAGGAAAGCTAGGAATCGAACCCGTGATCTCTCTATTCGTGTCCGCTATCGACGCCATCTATATTACTTCTAAGAGGAGTGAAAAAGGCTTTGGACATCAAAACACTCCAACAGCAAAAAGTTACAAACCTTAGGCTCTGTTACCGGTGCATTGCCGATGTCCCGAAGCGCCGATGGAGGCCTAGTGTTGTGCTTAGGTTTGCGCTGTCTGCTCCGGGTCCGCCCGGTTAAGTCACCCCGTGGCCGCAAATGGTCGCACCGGGTGGTCCAGGCTGTCTTAGTCGGGCCGTGAGGCGACCTGTCCCGAGGGAACAGCTTGATGCTGCCCGGTGAGGAAGACATCGCTCTAAAGCGAGAAAATGAAGTAAAATAAGTGCAAAACAAATACGTGTACATGCAGTACTCTCCAGGCACAGGTTTACGGAAAACGGGCAACAATGGGGCATCAGACTTGAAGAAACAGAAAATTGAAACACTTCCAAACTGGCTAAATATTGCAGACCTGACGGAGAAAAACTCACCTGTGCTGCACACCTATAAATGCCGTCTGCAGGTGTTGTTGTGAGCTTATAAGGCGTGCAGAAAGGACCACATCAAGTTCCGCGTTTCCTGGTTAAAGTTTAACTCATACGTTGGCCCGTGGGTCGACAGATGTATTTATAATGACGCTGTAAAGAACTGCTGGACTAGTTGGGTTATTCCCCCGCTACATGTACCTTCGCGTTACGGTCTAAAAATACGTGGCGTCCCCGGATCTTGGCTCAGTTCATATCAAGAGAGATTAATTGTTATTGATGATCCCATATTATTAGTTTGTCGACTACTCTACCTTTATTGCAGTCAGGACCGAATGACAAGCCTATATATATCTGAAACTTAATTTTGTGTGAACGAGGTCGTCTGTACCACCAAGTACTACCTCATTGTAATTACAAGCCTCTGGGGCGGATGCCATTCAGCGCTATCTGAATTAAGCTCCTTCATTAATACGGCCACCATTGCGGCCACTAAGACCAGGAAGGGTCCGTACTTATTCATAAGTGTGGTCGGTTCTTTAACGTGCTCATTTGTTACTCGGCATATTTGCTTTCATAAGTTTTACATACCATATTCTATATCATATCATATTTGTGTACTTCAGAAAGAATAAGAATACACTGATTCACATATTTCCGATTAAGATGGAAATTTATTTCAGTTCTGCAACCACATCACAACGGTAGAGCTACATATACACATAGTACGTCTTCTGTACAATTACAGATGCCACACAAAAATAGCAAAACTATTCGTATACATCGGTACAAAATGTCTTCTATGGCTTAGTTAGATATGTTGATGAGCAGCATATATGGAAGGGGCACAACAAAACGTGTGGGAAAAATATACAAATTTCAAACTTTGAGAAACTTTGGAGCTTTTTTACTGGAGATCCATCTTTTACACCTTATAAACAGCATTTTAACACGTTTTCAAAGAAACGCTCTTTTATCAAAGAGTCTAAAAACTTTCTCTGGAGTAGACTTGATATAATTTGAAATCAATCTCAGTAGGGTTAAGTCATTTTCTGGGCCCCCAGTGAAATGGGCGTTGGCTCCCCTTGGCAACACATAGCAACCACCTTTGACCGCAATTTTCACAATTTTTTCCCATTGTTCGATAATTGCCCCCTCTCCACCCAGTGTGAAAACTTCTTAGGTAGGGTGCCGCTGGATGCTACCTGGCACCCTGTGGAGTGTGAACGGCCTTGGTGCTTGGCTGTCTAGAAAACCAAGCTAGGATGTGTATTGTAAGGAATTAACAATGCCACTTCAAAACGTTTTCCTGTGTCTATAAACTATTTCAAATGTTTAACTTTGATAGATCAACATTTCGACATACAGAAAGGCACATTATTATAGATCCATACAGAGCCTCAGCTGTTGTAATATTATATAAATATCATAGGCTTGTAGCCTGGCATAAGACATAATTTTGCAAGACTTCCAGGTAAATTACAGAAACCATAAATGTAGAAAATCAAATCAGATTTTTTTTTACCTGCTTGCAGAAACTGAGCTTCCCATCCGGTAAACCAGTAACGTTATAATTGTAACTTAGAATTGTGAATAATGTAGAGATTCCCTCACTATAATCAAGGCCCTGGCCCTGCGTATTACTACAGTGTGATTCAAGACTCGAATCAAACTGTGATGAACTTGTACCCTTGCTGGTAGAAAATATTAACGACACATGTACGTTTTGCTTAGTTTTTCCCCCCCAAAGGCACTGCTGTTATTTGAAAAGTCACATTTTATGATAGGTATGACCATGTTAATTTTTATGGAAACCACATGTGTATGTATGTTGCACTTGAAAACTTCTGATAAGATAAAGAGAATTGTTTATACACCTCCCATACTTGTGAACATGTTTGTGTATTGTTTTTAAAACCAAGCCAAGCTGTGTCTGGCAGGTAAGCCACCGCCGGGTAAAGGTGTGAACAGCCAGGCCATTGTTCTGCCCAGGTAGTCTGCTCTCCTACCGTGAGGTGCTATGTCAACAAATTGATTAGCCATATTGTTCCCAAATAACAACAAAGAGGTCATATTTCACATCTAGGGATGCCAAAAGTCTAAATTTTGTAGTCCATTTTTTAGTCAAGTGGTGCTTGCTCAGATTATATTATTCTAACTTACAACAAAGATGGTTGGAAAGAAGACAAGTTGTACAACAATCTCTCGTTGAGACCATTATCTTGGAGGATTCCAGTGCTCAGCTATGCCTTCATGAATATTTCCAATGGCATATTTTGTCAATTTTTTTATATAATATGAAAAATCTTTGTTCTAGTTATAGTTCTAGACACAGCCTCAACGGGATGTTGTAGAGTTTTCTTTGCTGAATGCGTACATACCAAATTTGTCTTTAAAAAGGATGTCAGTGCGAAGCACGAGGTGTTTAAAGGTAGCTAAATTGACAAGTGCTTATTATATTAATATTGAGATATGGATAAGGTATATGTGAAACAAATGTGGTCAGATTGTATCTTAACAATATGCATCATCAAAACATGTCAGCAATTTTGGACAGAAAACATCAGGAAATTGTGAATTACGCATGAAAGTTGGGTCAGGAGTTAATTAGGCTGGAGGGTCAAAATTGACTTAACCTTACTGAGATGATCTAAAATATATTATGTCCATCTTTGTATCTGCTTTAGAGCCAAAATGTGTGGAATCTTTTTTCGTTGACAATGCACTTTTCATATACTCATTTTTGCGTGTTATAAAAAAACAAGCATGTATGTAGTATATAGTAGATATATGTAGCTCCTGGAGGTTATTATTTCTGTTACAAATGTCGAAAAAACTAATGCCGTAAGTCTAGAACGCAGAACATCTCACAATCACAAATGTTATGGTACACTCAATTCAATACAGCCAACTCTGATATCTCCATAAAAACGTTATATAGTTATACATATTTATATACTGCAGTCTGGAACTTTGCTATAGTTCAGGTTTGTGGCTCAAAACCATGTGTCTTAAATGCTAGGCTCTTTTCTAGTTCTTTGTCACCATCACATGAGCAAATGGTGAATACAGGATCGACGATTCACTGTAAGATAATTCACTGAATCATAAAGATTTCCCAGCCACGGAAAGGATTTGTAGCATATATACCTTGTTTTTGCTGTAAATGACCACCTAAACGGTAATCAGAAAATAACTGTTCAAAAATAATTGTTCAAACCGGTAACATATTTAATGACAAACGCCCGGGTAATCACAAAATAGTACACAATCGGATCGGTCAAATCGGCAACACTTTACGGCCACTTTTCATGGACGCTAAAATTTGTGGGGAAAGAGCACGAGCATTTTTACGGGGAGGGGACTGTGGAGGGGGGTTTGGCACAGGAGGGGGGGGGGGTTACTGTACAGAGATGATGGCCTCCTGTTGAGGGGTCATGCCGGTTCCGATCTTCAGCGCGTTGTACGTGCTGTGTCCGAACGTGTCGCCGAACTTGAACTTTTGCGCTGTGAAGGATAAAAAGAAACACAGATTTTGTTTAGTACTCGAATAATCTGGAAAGTTTGTTCAAGACAAGCTTACAGACTGACAGTGAATATAGATGATTGCATTATTTGCATAGCTCTATTTCAAATCAATTAATCCTGTTTATTCTTACTTAAGCACACTCCAGCCACTTGCTACATAATGTAATACAAAGCCACATGTCTGCTACAGCACCAGTCAACACAAGACCGGATCATTGACTTTATTCGTTTGGAAGGGAAGGAGAAGAAACGGAGCAAAACACTATGCTTTCCTTCTGCGAAGATAAACATGTATATGATATGGTGACCAGCCCCTCCCAACTCTGCCTTGCCACTTGCTACCTGACTTGCTACATAATGTAATCCAATGTCTTCCCTCTGCGAAGGCACATGTAAACGCAATAGATACCTGGGATGTGGCCTGTGTAATGCGGAACCAGTCCGGATCCCTCGGGATAGATGGCCTGGGTCTCCACCTTGCCCTTGGCCTCGCGCTTGATGGTGATTGGTTGAGTCTTCAGGGTTCTGTTCTTGCCCATCTCATTGGTGAACTCGCACAGAGCGGCGTTCGTCAGGACAGGGTAGCCCATTCCCATCAGCCCCCGCGCCTTGGGCACGAAACCGGTGTAGCCTGGGGGAGAGAATGAACGAGTGAACTAATGAATGAATGACTGGATAGATGGATGGATGAACGGGGGGTTGGATTGATGGATTGATGAATTAATACGGTACAGTATTGATCAGAAAAAAAATCAACATCATGTAGCCTGGGGAACGGGAATGAGTGAGTGACTGAATGAATGGATGGATGCTTGGATGAATGAATGAATGAATGGGGTAAATGCACAAATGAATAAATGAATAGACGGCTGGATTGATAAACGAATAAAGAGATGTACCAATGAATAAATGAGAGCAAACTCTGACCTGACATGAAGTTTTTCTTAGCCTCTTCGTTGCTCATGCGGTATGGCGACTTCATGTGCTTGAGGGAGCCGGGTGAGTAGTACGGCTTGGCCTGCCGCGCGATGGGCTTCAGAGGAGTCTGGTACGAGGCTGTGATCAGCTGTAACATGCAGAGAGAACAAAAAATGACTCTTTTCCTTTGCCAAAAAGGTTATGTGTTTGTTTTTATTTGTTAATGTGCGTGTGTAGTGTTGATTGTACTATAGATAGATCTTGTTATCGTGAAGGAGAGGCTCCCCAGCGGCCTAGGTTTGGGCCCCCTAGCAGCTTACTTGGTACTGCAGGGCCGATTTCTATTCAGACATTGGAAGGTAATAATTGTCGACATATTTGTTATAGGAAGCTTAAGCTAAGAAATAGCTGACATAATTCAAGTCTAAGTGGTATAGATTTAGCTCCCTTTTTAAATCATGGAACGCAATATCTTCGGAACGCTTTTGTCTATTTCGTCGTAATGAACGTTCAATTCCTTGAAGTGCTAAATTCGCGGTCTTCCTCACATTTTTCTGCGCGTCTGTGGGTTTGAGCTTGCCGGTCTGCAGTGCCGTTAGGGTCCGCATGTCGTCTCTCTTGGCGGTGTGGCCGCGCTGGTCGCTCTCGAAGTCCGCGATGGCGGAGCTGCAGGTGTCGGCGTACCGGCTGCCGAAGTAGTGGTTCTGCATCTTAGGGATGTAACCTGGGGAGAAACGGTCAATGTTTTATAGTTTGATTCCGTATGATTAGATTTATAAATTAGTGGGTTCTGCATCTTAGAGAGATGTAGCCTGTAGGGAAAGGGGGGTAGAAGAACGTATCAGTCGTTGATACATCGATGAAGGTTAGACATCCAGGTAACGAGGTACACAAGAAACCAGGTACTCAAGCAACTACATATATCTTACTAGCTGTTTTCTTGTGCATCAGCCTTAGTCGGTAACGATGGTGTGTACATGTGTTTTACATAGCTATTACGGTACACCGTAGCGCACATACAGGCTGACAATGTAAATGTGATTCAAAACAAACCCGTTTGAATTATATAAGAAAGAAGTACGGTAAGTCACGCATATGAGCTCAAGAGCAAAATTTAAGATTGCCTGTTGTGTTAATTCACAAAAAGTTTCAAGAGACGAGAATGTACGGAAAGATAACATTTTACGGAATTTCACACTTAGATCATTACGTTTATTATCTGAAAAATCTGGGACAATAGCGGTCATGGCGACCATCACCATTGATTGACATGGAAGTGTGTGTAAATGCTGTATTGATATAAGTTTTTCTTACCGGTGTATCCCGGTACCATCTTCTCCGTCAGCTTCTGGTCGCCCCAGCTCGCCGTGCGCGTACGGATAAACGCCCCCTGTCGGAACAAAACGGAATGGATGAACATTTAAGAATTGGTAGGAGATAATATGAACCTAATAAGCCCACAAGTTTTCGAGTGAGTGAAAGAATGAGAAGCACAGAAGGTGAGGCCTAGGTAGGGTGAATCTTCGATGCGGATGAGGAAGGGTACATTGGGGGAACAGAGGGAGGGACGAAGAGAGTGGGAAGAAGAAAATGAGATAAAGTTTCAATGGCTCAAACAACCAACGCCCTAGAGAAAAAATGGAGTAAGGGAAAGGAGGATGGAAGATGAGAGAGAGATAACAGGAAGCATTTTATGTGTGGAGGGAGAGATCCGGTAAAGGTAAGGTGATCATGTCCCTCTTACCCCTCCATATGTATGATGAATCTTACTAGACATCAACAAAAATTAATATATTCCGTACCTTGTCGATGCCATGGCTGAGCCGTGGGAAGGTGTCGGTCAGCACGGAGCTTGCGGAGGCAGCGACGTTCGGGTTAGTCAGGAGCCGGTGGGTCGTGTTACCGAACGTCGAGCCGATCTGGTACTTAAACTGTGGACAGTACCCCAGATACCTGCAACATCAAGTAGACTGTTTGTTTGTTTGTTATTTTTAATATAGACGTTTGCTATTACTAACATAGGCGAAGAATGATCCGATAGTAAATACCTGCGACGTTAACGTGCGTGAAGAACAGGCCAGGGGCCTTTTCTGTTTGTTTGTTTCATTGTTTGCTTTTGCTAAGTAAACATATGATGGACAAACGACGGTCAGATTTTACTGGAGACAGTAGCCTTGATACCTGTTGGGAATAATTGCGTTTCTTTGTTTTTCTGTTGTTATTTTTTTTATATAAAGACATGTTGGTCAGGAAACGTTAACATCCCTCCCAACGTCTGCTTGGAGTTGGAGGAAACGTAATTGCCTAGTGACGACAATGGCGACAGTACTAACAGAACAAACACGACCGGAACACGGGAACACGCGCCCCGCTCATACCGGTCTGTCCTGTTGACTCGCTCCAGGCTGTAAACCCCAGACAAACACACTGGAACTGTTTACCGACGCACTGGAGGGCGGATTGTGGGTCAGTTTGATCAGGAGTTTGTGGGCGATTTGTGCACCTTTATACACACCAGGATGTGTTTTACGGGTTTAACGAGGCTGAAAACGGTTTATATAACAATTGTACGTCACCTAGGATATAGCGTTAACGGCAGGGTTAATCTAGAGAAGGATACTGAACAGAAACACCTGGTAGTGTGGAAGAAAGATTTAAAAAAACGACAAGATTTTAACTGTTTAATATGTGCTTGAGGGGAACGTTTATAAAGATAATTGAGGGAGTGGATAGTGCGTATTAAAATAATCATTAGCTCAAGTACCATTCATTCATGCAGTCAGTCATTCATTCATTTATTCGTTCATTTCTGTCTCAAACTAGTGTATGTTTCGCAGAAGGGAAGCTATAATTATCGTATCAGTACGTTGACAAATAGGGATACCGCTAAAGAGCTACACAAGGGGATTAGTACGTTTGTCTTGTCAATAAGATTCTTCTGTCGTCTCCTCAAAATGTAGATAGAATGGCCCTGCCTCCAAACTATTACTTGTACCACTTCAAACGGCAATAAAAAAACTATCATTGAACCCAGACGCTTTTGATGGTCTAATAAGTGTTCTTTTCCTTAAACTTGAATCACTAAACATTATGAGTCAGACATTTATTTTTTCAACGTTGACGTTTTTTCACGTTAATATTACCCGTGATTGTTCATTGCTATTTTTAATGCGCCGCCACAAAGGTCTTGTATCTTGTGATGTTTTATGTAATAAAAACGCTAAAACACCGACCGACTGTTATATTGACAAATACAGATATCGCTATAGAAATGGTAGGCTGTGTACATAAGATTTTTGCGTTGTCTTCTTCACAAAACCCCTAAATGATCCTCCTTTACACCAGTCGATTGTACCACTTCAATCGGTTCAAAGTTTTCCTACCCACTCCTTAAACAATCACGAACAAAGCCGGAGTTGACTCGGTTTATCGCCTGTGCAGATAACACGGTTTGCTGTAGCAAAGTTCAGTCCAGGGCTTTTCATGTTACCAGGCGGGAACACTGGGCTTCTTCTATCTGGTGGCTAATTAATGATGCTTGGTTATGATAAGATTTCTAAGCCGCTGATTTTATATTGTATTCCACGCTTTTAAATAGTTATACCTGCTATGAAATACAGATTTAAGACAGCCCTTTCCGTACCGACACAGCTGAATTTTACAGCGTACATGCACGACAGTTACCCTAAGAATACCCTCAGTTTTGCGATCGTACTTGTTTGAATGGCCCTGCTGTAGTATCCAGAACCTGTTGTATCCAGAACTCAGGCACATTAGCTTGTTCTGGATAGCCCGCACGTATCCATAACCATACCTGGGGCAGATCTGCGTTCTTGGATACGCCGAGTCTATCCAGAACCGTAACCGGCTAACCCATGGCCATTCAGGCATAATGAGAAACGACTACCACGGCTCTAGATAGGCCCCTATCAGGCTAGTGTGACAGCTAAGTCACGGTAATGCGGACATACCGTACATACACGAGCCAATCATCAGGCCTATAAGTGCGGCAATTACCGAGATAAACCGCGAAAAGTTGCTCAACTGGTAAATGCCAGAAACACCGCCGCTGTGGTCCCGACATGCCACGGGAGACACTAGCAACCACCTGTTAACGTCTACATACCTGTTGTACACCGGTCTACCTGTTTACCTGGCGTTACATCGACAACACTTCTTCAAAATAGATAAAATAAATTGAGCCATGGGTGAGAACGTCACCGGTAAAGCTAGTACCACACATCGCCGACAATTATATTATTATCGTTATATTTCAGTGCATACAATAGGTATGGATGAAATATATTGTATTTTTTTGTTTTCTCAGTCTGAAAATGACTCTTGTAGATAAATGTACTGATATTACTAGCGTTTTTCACGGTCATATTTTAAAACCAACTCGCTTTCTTGACAGAACCCCCCTTGACAAAAAATACGTCCCTTTTGAAACCTTTTGAAAAACATTGAAACAGTTCAGAGCAATCTTGTTATATTTTGCCTGACCCTTCCGCCTTCCTTCATGACCTCAATACGAAGTCAGTAGGTTGAGTGTTTCATAAATAAACAAAGGCTCAAACCAGCAACAATCACTATTCACTGTCCCTGACGGTGTCCCGACTTTGAACGCCGTCATTCAAACACAAACTCTCTTTACATCCTTCTCTTGACCCCATTAAATCTTTGCACAACTGTTTTTGGTAGTCTCTTGTTCTATAGAACCGCAAACAAAACCGCGACATGAAAAATGTTCTAGAACGAATTACGTTTCACGCGAACACTATTTAAAACCTGCAAACTCAAGCCAACCACTGACATTTCTGGGACACTGAGTCAGATGTAAGGGTACTTCAAAACGCAAGTCACTCTTGCAACAGCGAAGAAAATCAATAAGATGACATTAAGAACATTCCTGAAGACCGCAGATGACTTGCTAATACATGTAGTCTTAAAGTGGCTTAGTGTTATCATAAGAGGGCTCAAAACTCGAGATATCAGTCTCTTTGTGTCTGGTAGATTTTTGTCAGGGTTGAATTTACTAGAAACGGGCAAGAACACGGTGAATAAGTTGCCAGATTTTATCCCAATAAGGCCAAAATTATCCCATCGATCTAGATCCTAGCTTTGCTGCCCAAACCACTTTCTGTCTGGCTATCTTCCCTGAAAAATCATTAAAAATATTGTTATGTCAGCTAACGGACATAATAAGATGTATTGTTTAATGGGTACTTCTTTTACCTGAAATAAAGACTAAAGAAAGAAAGAAAGAAGGAAAATAAAGTATCCAAGTATCTCAAGTCTAGCAGCTTGGAGGCAGTTCATAAGCAAATGTTGGGGATAGATCTTATCTATTATTCATTTTCTTTAGTTCGTGACGTTGTATGACTGCCAGTAGGCCTATCTGACAGCTAAGTTAAGGAACTGTCCGAGAAGCCCGACCGTCTGAAATCGTTACAATTCTCCACCGCAAACATCTGCTTGAATCTGTGCTGCGTGACAGGAGTGTGTTGTTACAGCACGTCGCCGGCAGGTATTTACCGTAACCACCTCAAGGGTCAGGGGAAATGTCAGGTCGTGTCGTGTCTTCCTGTTTCAACCTGCACAATCTTGAGAGCTCTCAAAAATCACGGCGTTATGTCAACATATCTTCTGCATGCAGTGTAGGCATGGTTCAGGTCCGGTCGGTTAGGGTATGGAATACTTTGAAACGTGCCCAAATATCTACATAAGTCATAACCTTACGTGGGGGAGGGGGTCGCATATTGACAGGTTGTTTCAAGATGGCTGACAGTACCTGTACACCTGTACCTGTGACACACCTGCGACATAGCTGTTACAAGAACGTAGCGAAGAGTCCAACCAAAAACACCAAAAAAGGGACCCCAAACATTCGCCGCATAGACACTTGGCTCAGTAGGGGGTTTTCGACTGTTGACAGACTCTTTCAAAATGGCTGACAACCACCTGTACACCTGTGACATTCACACCTGGCACAGGTGTTTTGGGACGTCACAGCAACCAACAGGTACAACAAATTCCAATATTGCCCTGTGTGTGTTGTTCTGTTGACATGATAGCCATTTTGTAACGTTAATGAAAGTCCCTGTACTTTTGTCGAGTCGATAAAGAATCATTGTATACAAACAATGGTAGAGAAAACCACAATACACAAATATCAAAATATACACGAACACATAGGAAGCAAATTGCATCCATATATGAAACCTAGATTACTGTGGGGCCTTAGTTGTAGTTTTATATTTGTGAGAAGCATAAAAATCGTGAGCTTTTCCCTTAGATATCCATGTTAAAGTTATATGACGTGGTCGTCAGCATACACAAATGTCAAAATACATATATACAAAAGGGGTAAATACATGTAGGACCCATGCAGTCTAAGCCTATGTACATGTAGTTACACCTAGCTAATTTTGAGGATCTAAAGGCTCACAAAACCACGAGTTTTGAACCTAAGTAGATCACCAGGTTATTTGAAGTGTTCTGTACACACTTACACCAACCCGCATTGTGCGAGTGTTGAGATTTTAACCCCTACCCACCATAGTAAGGTTCAACCAGTCAAGTATAGGACTAAAGTGTGTCTATATACCTACGGATTTCAGCTAATGTTCCTATAAACAGGCTACCGAGATCTTATTGTCGTTTGACTGAGAGTTTGAGATGAAAATTTCGAGTGTTTTTGAAGATACGTTGTTGATACAATACCGAGTGTTTTGAGTACAACTCACCATACACACGCACAGATATCAAAATACACAAAAGGCCTATATACTAGTGCATAAAAATGGCGCTACGACTACACACACAAACTGTGTAATAGTTAGCTCTTTACGATTACAGATATCCAAGCTAACGTGAAGTGCCTTATCCCGATATCTACCGGGACCAAACATACAGTTTTTACACACAGCCCAACAACAATCGATAAGGTATAACCGAGTGAAGTACGGGTGTACTGTAGGGGGATACCGAGTGGTTTTGCTATCAACAAATCGCCAAGACAGCTCGATATTTTAACGTTTCCTTACCCTGGCGTATGGTAGGGATCTGGAGTCATAAGTATGCTCTTCTTGGGTGGCTGATCTTGCGGCATCTTGGCTGTTTTCCCCGTGAAATTAGGAGAACAAATCTGCCGAGTGAGTGCACTCCGTCCTGCCTTCGCGTGGTCGCCCGGCGCCGGTTGCTAGGCGTTGCTAGGGAAGCCGTTCCATTGTGTCGTCTGCGCGCGCCGGCTGCGGGCTCCGAATGCGTGTGCGGGAACAAAGCGCCCGTTTTACTCAGGCAATTACGCATTCAAACACATAAAAATGATTGCGGCAGCAATGTCTTTCGTCCGGGTAACTTTTTATTTTCTTGAACGCCGGATCGCCATGGAAAAGACTAGACGTCTTGCTATAATGCCAAGGCCAATACGGCCTGCTGTATACATTTCTTATCAGTGTTATTGAATAGGCATTCTTTGCCTGACATTTATAGAGACATATAACCATTATCGGTGGGGCTTGAAAGAAACCTTATCGATCATTCTGAGGTTCCTTAAATCTTTAAGAATTCAGCTTATCTTAGCAATGTAGGGCGTGTTTCTTGCAAGATTTAGATGTTTTGCTTATCTGGTACTGTATAGGACGTCTGTCTTGGTGTTTGCCTACAGTAAGACCTGGATTTCTCGCCCGACTGCCCGCGAATGGGCGGATCCAAACAGCCAATGAGAAACCGAGATTTGGCGCTGAGAGGTGTAACATTAGCCGCACATTGTGCGCTGTTTGCCCCGGATCAGGGGTTGTGTAAACTGGGCACGTTCGCACAGGTGCGAATCGGTTTTTAAGGATCGGTGCTCAAGTTTACTGTAGCCTGGGTAGTGGGTAGCCTCTACTAGTCCCCACCAGACTTCTTTTGCAGGCTAAATAAATCGTAGACATCGGCATAAAATGGGGATTTAATTGCACGTGCAGGCAGATTGGACCCTCGATGGCCGGCTACCTTCTCTTGCCAATTAAATCCCCTTTTTATGCCGATTTCTACGATTCATTTAGCCTGCAAAAGAAGTCTGGTAGAGACTAAGCCTCTACCAGGCTTCGGGACACCGCTGGAAACAGTAGAAATTGACCAAATAAAGAGATAGCATGCCGAGGGAGTTGGTCCGCTAGAGACTATACATTTTGCCGTCTCCCGAAGCCTGGTAGATAAGCTTGGTAGTGGTTACTATCCGTTAACGTTATGACAACTGGCTCCCCGTTTTACTTGTTAACAAAAATAAAAGGGGGAAAAAGTAGTAAAGTTCTACATAACGGAGGATGACACCCGGGCTATACTTAATCTCTGGAGTTCCAAGCAGATCTTTTGGTGGCTGCAAAGACAGAATCAAATTGGCTAAAATTGGCCAGGCTGTATCCATTTGTCAGTCAGTTACCATTTCACTTCAGATTAGGCTAGTCATACACTACCTTACATCGAGTCTGTATATGTCCGAGCAGATACGAAATTCTAGCTCGGTTGTTTTTCAAGGTTGATCCATTCCAATATACCTGCTGTGTGTTTGTGTCCACGCGATAGCTAAAAAAAAGCCACTCCATTTGCCAATAAATTATACATGTTACACTCCATTCGGTGGTTTGCTAATAAATGAAGCATTTTGACCTATAAAAGTCGGACTGTCGCCTGACAATAAGTATCAAAGGGCGAGGCTATCAAACCACCTGCTGATCTAACAGGTGTCTGACGCTGTCTAGCGATAGTACTAAAAACTGCAGCAAAAAATGCTGGGTTAGTGTGGAGGAGCGCATTATTTCTTGGTTTGGGAGGGCCTAGGGGGAGATAGTCATTGTTTGTTGAATGCAAAAATTGTACTTTTTGGGATCAAGGTTGCAAACAATACTTCAAAATGAATTCACAATAAGAGGCATACTGGAAATCATTCCGAAATCGACTAACTACTAAGTAGTACAAATGTACTAGTTTCTTCTTTTGAACACCCATGTCGGAATGTGATCGCCCGAATCGGTACACACCACTTAGGGAATAGAATGGGGTCCATTTCAAACATTATTATCAAACAAAAATCTTATCAAATTTCTAGATACCAGGCCTTTAATATATACGACAAGTAATGCTGTCAAAATCGATGGGAAAATTTAAGTCGTCAACATTAGAAACACTTTCGTTTCTGGTTACAACACCCCTATATTACACAATGGTAGCTTCTGACGAGGGTAAAGGTCACAAGAGCGGCCACGTAGGATGAGTCAGAAACTCATGAAAACACGTCAAGAAAAGGGCTCGTATGACGTCTTTAGGGTAGAACTGGAACTTTTTATCACCGGAGAGTCTTAAAGGAACGTTTCACTCACCTAAGGAGACCGGAGCCACCTGGAAAATCTTTAAGATGAACCAAGGAAAAGACGCCGGGAAGGACGAAGTGGCCTGGTGGTTCAAGATTCTAGGAAGATGTGTCGGCGCGATCGCTGCGTTAGGTAGGACGTTTCTTTCCTTAAATATGTCAAATCTAAGACCATGTTATTATCTTTTACTGCTAAGGTAATGTTCAAGTAGGTAGTACAAGACGTTGTTTTCGTTTCTGATGCTTCAACGTCACGGCTTGTTGGTATGTCAAAATATGACAAATAGTTGTCAGAAAATTGTCTACCATATTTTTCGTAGTCATAATCAGTTAAAGGTATATACACTGCCAGTGCTGTATAACGTTATATATTACAACATTCTAGTAGCGTTATGTGTTTGTTTATCTAAAGTAAAATTATGCTTCAGGGGTTGCTGTTACAAGGTCTTGTACGTACATGTAGTCCGTTGTAAATAAGCAATTATGAACAGAAGACTTTCATATTAACGTTACATAATCTGTGTTGACATAATTTATTTGGCTTCTGCCCAGTGTCCTGTATAACCTGTTGTCTGTTATTGCAGTCTGTATGGGGATGGGCATCTGGGCGTGCGTCTCTTTACATCCCACCTGTATAGTAGCAGGAGTCATCATGGTGTAAGTAGAATTACTAGTATGTAGACAGTCATCTTTTTTCTAATCATACTGTATAATATAATATTATTATTTGTAGCTAAAACAATTTTTCATAACTTCTCATCAGCTACCTTCCTCCAATTGGCTTGAATGTGATACTTGTAATTGTGAAGAAAATATGAGACAGAACATGAAGAATTGATATAAATCTACTTAAGAAGCAAACTTTATATTCCTTCTAGTTTAAGACAAAATTCATCATCATCGGTCAGCTGCTACACAGGAGCACGTCGGTGAAACGTACTGCGCCTGCTCTAAACCCTGATTTTTCACTGTTTTCGTTGAATGTTTGGTCAACATTGCATCAGCTAGAATTTTGCCTGTTGCAGATGATATCTTTTCCAACACAACATTTGGAAACTATATACTGAGTGTTAACCTTATATGCATGAATACGATCTTATATGAGACGTTCATGCCGAAATGCTATGCACAGTACATTATAGGATTTGTGCAGGTGCAAAACGTTCAGCCCACATGCTCTACGCAGGTGAATGCATGTTTCCTCCATTTCCCCTGTTGCTAGCAAGGTCAGAGATCTGTTTCACCAAGAATTGGTTATTGTAATCTCCCAGTAGCAGATTGTTTATATTATGCCCTGACACCAGTTGATTCAAACATGCCTATGTTCTTGTTGTTGCAGATGTCTAGGGTTTCTAACCATGGTTTTGGAAGCTCCGATCTGCTGCCAGTTCTTTGACGGGCTGGACAGACTAGCAGCCTGGATTGGGAACCTGAAGTACATCTACAAGGCCATCCTGTACTGTGTGTAAGTATGGTACTACAGCCATCCTGTACTTTGTGTAAGTATGATTGTATGATGTATAATGTGAAAATTCTTCTTATTAGTAAGTTCTATGTTTAGTGCATGCGTTTGTGTATGTGTGGGCATGTATGTGTGTGTGTGTATGTGAATATGCATGTGTGTGTATTTGTGTGTGTGTGTGTATGTGTATGTATATATGTAGTGTGTGTGTGTATTTGTGTGTTTGTTTGTGTGTGTGTGTATTTGTGTGTGTATGTGTTTGTATGTAGTGTGTGTGTGAATTTGTGTGTATGTGTGTATCACTATGTGTGTGTGTGTGTGTATGTGTGAGTGTGTATGTGTTTGCATTTGTCAGTGTGCGGTGTGTGAGTGCATTTTTTTAAAATCGATCTGGATCCAGGAATTTCTTGAAGGAATCTTCCAACCACTGTTTGTATCTCCCCCCCCCCCTCCCAGGTTGTCCATATTTCCCATGATGCTGTGCTTCGAGATGAGCACAGTGTTTGGTTCTGGCCTCGTCTTCGTGACGGGCGCCATATATGGAGTCATGGCACTGGGCAAGAAGTAAGGCTGGTTTATCATTATCCTTGCTAGAGATCTGGAATACGGAAAGAGGTATTCATGTACATGTACAATGTATTTGCTAACCCATACTTAGATGGACAGCAATGATAGAGAAGTGCTACCAAGGCAGTGGTCAATTAAATCAATGAAAGGAATAGTACAGTTTCATTGTGTACATCATTTCACATCAACTTAGTTACATGTTAGTCAACGAAGTGTTGTGAACTGGGTGTACTTTTGCTATCATTCAAAAATTGAGACTGAATTCTAGTTCAGTTGATTTGACATTTCATTTTTTAGCAATGGTAATCATAAACAATTACCATTTCTAAAAGATATAATCAGCATTACATGAACATTGATATGACAGCAACGCAATGACAAGTAAAACAAGGAGACTGATGTTATTTCCTGTTCCTGTGTCTGTCCAGGGGCGGTCAGGCTCGGAGACCAGAAGACGTGGAGATGAACCAGAGACTGACGGAGACAGAGGAGCCGGTCGCCACCACGCCGCCGGAGGGGACATAACGGCGATCCTGCTGATAGTGTGTTCTTCTTAACTAACAGGAAGGTTGAGATTTACATGTAGCTATAAGGGAAAATTTTACTATTCAGGAACTGGTGTAAAGACTAGATATGTTCTTCTTTACTTAAAGGGGAATGTTAGCCTCCTTAGCAAGCTTTGAGACTGGGGCTTTTTCAGTGCTCAGAAATGTATTTTGCCCTCTGTCTTGGTTGAGTGATGGTCTGATGTAGATATTATTCCTTCAAGTAGATGTAGATGGCCTCTTTGACTCCTCTCAAAGAGTAGTCCTGTTCAGTGTCAATACTTTTACTAGTATTTACCAAACTGAGATGAACGTTCATGTGATTAACAATCTTACCATAATAATTGCTTCCTGAGCTCTTCTGCAAGGGTTGTGATATGTTAGCTGGACATTTCAAGTAAGGTTCCACTATTACTTCATGTATATTCTAGCATTGGTATCAGAACAGACTGTTCTTTCTTTGTTTCAGTTTTATGAATTTGAGTGTTCATATGGTGGCTGTTCCAATCTGACAGTTTTGTATGTATCTAATATGCTTCATTTTCATTGTCATACAAAACAATAATATTGAGTAATCACCTTATTCTGCAGTATCAAAATGTTATTTATTGTAGATATGTGTATGTTATATATATATAACGTTTGATTTTTGATAGAGATTAATCATATACATTGATGGCATATATAAACATATTAAGTAGTCTGTTTGGATTCCATGATACATTATCACTAATACATGAGCTACATTTGAATTACTGGTTCATAGTTTTTGAGCAGCGTTTTGAACCAAAGTTTCTACATTGTAACTTTGTATTTTGTACATTGAAGTTAAAGTTAAGTTATGTGTTGTTTAAGGTTTGTTGGTCTTTCAAAAGGTGTGCATATTTTAGTGTTATATAAGGTGAGTTAGCATTCTGTATAACACCAGTTGATATTTGCAATGTTGTTAATCTACTGTATTAGTTTCAATGAACACTTTTAATGAAGAATTCAATATTCCAAAGTGAAGAATGTATAATGCTTTGATTGACCTTTGGTAACTTTAGTGCAATAAATAGATATACTGTACGTTTGATGAATATACATGACATTCTTTACTAGCTAGTTTAAAGAATATGTTTTCATAGTTGTTGTATAATGTTATGTACATAGAAATATATAGTATTTACATATATACATGCTGCACTGGTTAAAGTACTTTGATAACTACTATATTTACATTTTGGAAGTATTGCCTAAGCACCGTAGTCTCTACCAGGCTTCAGAGGCGGTTGGAAACTGGCCAAATAGACAGATTGCCAAAGGAGTTAGTCCGCTAAATTAAAGGACTACAGTGGCTTTCAGTCACCTCAGAGGCCTGGTAGAGGCTATAAGCACTGTACTTGTGTATTCCAAATATTTCCTCAGACGTCATTCCTTGTAACATTTTTGCAATAGTTGGTGAGTTAGACCCTGTTCATACCAGACTTAATATTTAGCGGTTTCAACCGGTTTTTCAAAAACCCGGCTAAAACCCTTGGCGTTCATACCAGACTTATGATAACCGGTTTTGAAAAAATCCTGTCCGGTGAATATCCAATTAATCGGCCATGACTGCAGTTTGAATATAACTGTTCCTCTCGCTCTTCTGATTGTTTTCCTTGGCCTTCTTGCTTGTATGCCGTCTTCAGTTTTTTTTACCTTAGTGCGGCACTGATCCTTTATCTTCAAGAAATCAGCCTCCTCCAACATTTTTGTTTCGGTAGAGCCCTCCCCCCCCCCTAGCTTTTTCGAATTTGGCGACTCCTGCTCTTCCAACCTAAGTATCAGGAGCGTCCCGTTCGCCGACCAGGTTGCGTTTGCTGATTCCATCGCAAAATGAAGAAAAACCGTGGAAAAACAGTGGAAACGAACTCAAGTTGGTCAAAACAACGCGCTCAAAAAAGCTTGCAGGTCGCACACGGCCAGGATGCTGACCCCGTGACCCCGGAATTATGACGCAAAAAACCGGTTCAATAAACCCTTAGCGTTCAGACCAGGTTTTTCCGGTGGAAAAACCCCACAAAAACCCCTCAAAAACCACCTCCCGAGGTGGTTTTTCAAAATCGGATTTAAACCCCTAAAAAACCGGTTAATTTGCGTTCACACCAGGTTAAATAAAAACCGGTTTTTGAAAAACCGGTTGAAACCGCTAAATATAAGTCTGGTATGAACAGGGTCTTAGTAACTTTGTTCTGGTGCTGATTGAATAACACATTTTTAGCACCTCATTACATGAATCGTCTGTATCTCTAATATACAGGAAACGGACATGCAAGGTAAGGAAAATGCTGCCATGGTTATTGTTCCAAACTAGAAGTTTCAGGGGGAAGTTGTAGATGGAAGTGATTTATGGAACAGTGAATTAATAGTTCTCAGCACTCTTGTTGTTGGAGATGGTATTTTCTTCAAATAAATTACTGGAATTAATTGTTCAGGTGGTGTCAAGTTTTGTTTTTTAGTTGACGGAATGTGATGCTCTTATTCTCTAGAATCTTACTGAACAGATATAAATTTAAATGATTCTAGTTTGTAGAATATTCTTCAATCAGTGACTGTTTTTTGAAAGGTAAAATGATTCTAGAACTTTTGAGCCTCCCTTGCACCAACAGTACTGTTTTGTTTACTACATCAATTATAACATTTCGTGTAAAAAACAATATACTAAAACTTAGTAACAATATACTAAAACTGAAGTATCTACATGTCATGACAAAATGACAAAATGAGTATGTATGTACATGTAGTATAACTTTATAAACAACATTTACAACCTAATTGTACATTTACAAGTTGAAATGACTCTAAATTACCAGTGATAAATTGTAAGCATTGTATAATTCCCAGATTACATGACTGCACAGTCAAGTCTTTCCAAAACAGTTTATGCAAAAACTTGTTGCCCTTCTGCACACTAGAGATGATGAATGGTGCAATAATACAACATAACTGGGAATATATAAAAGCTTATAATGACTCATGGCACACTGTAGATGTTTGGTGTTCATTTCATTTCCATATCTATAACTGTTATAATAGAAATGAAGATAGCATAACACATCTGGCATAGACTATGTATCAGAACTATTTAGAACATCATTTGACATCCAGTATAAACGACTCTGATCTACATGTAACCAGCATTCATCAATTGATAAGTACAGCAGAATAAGAGCAGTGTATCCTCAGAGCACGCGTGATGACTCAGTGTGTACTCTTTGGTGTTCATCTCATCTCCAAACATGAATGATTCCTGTTCATGTGATTTCAAAGTTCACTTCTCATTATGGTCCGTTATATCTGTGTCCTCGTGTACAGTTTCTTCTTCCTCGGTAGCTTTCGTCAGAGTACGAGCCTGGTCGCGGTAGCTACTGAGGCGGATTTTTCGGTGCGTTTGTCTGTTTATTTGTTTGTATGTCCGTAGTTATACATGTATGAATACAGTAGAGCCACAGGAATGTAAAAGTTTGCTACTCCTTGTGGTCTGTTGACTCGGTGTCCTCAAGATGTGGAGTTTCTTCTTCCTTGGTAGCTTTCTCCAGGGCACGAGCCTGGTCGCGGTAGCTGCTGGCCCTTTCTTGATCTCCAGCTTTGGTGTAAACTGTCTCAAGGTTTTTGAGCAGCTTCAGAATATCTGGATGTGTTTTGTTCTCGCCTTGGACGGTTTGCACCCTGTCTAGTGCATCCTGGTAGAGCTGGATAGCTTTTGTGTGGTCACCGAAGTCTTCATAAACTGTCGCGATGTTACGGAGGGTTTCAGCAATGATAGGGTAAGCCGCATCCTGGCCGTGAAGGTTTTCTATCATTCCCATCGCTCTCTCGCAGTATTGTAGGGACTTCGTGTATTCTCCCGTCTTGCTCCATGCTGATCCAAGGCCGCCTAGCAAGCAAGCAATGTGTGGAAGCTCTGTATTCTTGCCGAAAACCTCTTCCAACATCGTCAGTGCTTCTTCGTAGAAACTGATTGCCTTGAGGTAATCCCCTAATTTTTGCAAAACTCCCCCCATATTACCAAGCGATATGGCGGTAATGTGATTTGGGGTGGTCGGGCCGTAGAACTCTTGGAACATCTTTAAAGACTGTTCAAAAAAAGCACGGGCTTTCTCGTTATCACCGACAGTAAGCCAGAGGAATCCCAGGTTATTAAGGACACACGCAATTTCGGGGTGACGCGGTTCATGTCCTCCGTGTTCTTCGTTCCCGCCGTGGATGACTTTAAACATGTTTAACGCCTCCTCGTAGAGCTGAACAGCTTTTGTGTAGTTCCCGAGGTATTTGTAACCTGTCGCGAGGTGACTGAGGGACTCGGCAATGGAAGGGTGCACCGCATCCTGCCCGTGTATTGTCTTATAGACTTCCAGTGTCCGGTCGTAGTAGCGGAGGGATTTCTTGTATCCTCCTGCTTTGCGACATGCTGATCCAAGGTTGCTTAGCAACCAGGCCATGTCGGGATGTTCCTTACTCTTTTCAAGAACCTCTTCCAGCATGCTCAGTGCTTGTTCATAAACACTTATTGCTTTGAAGTTATCACCCGATTTTTCCAAACATGTCCCCATATTTTCGAGCGCTTTGGCGGTATCATAATGAGGGGTGGTCTGGCCGTAGAGCTCTTGATTCATCTTCAATTCCTGCTCATAGAAGTCAAGAGCTTTCTCGTTATCACCTACATTGGACCACAGGTATGCCAGATCATGAAGAACATTTGCAATGTCGGGATGACTCACTCCGTCTCCTCCAGGTGGTTTGTTCCCCCCTTCGATGACCTTTAACATGTTTAAGGCTTCCTCGTTGAGCTGAATAGCTTTGGTGTGGTCCCCGAGGTCCCCATAAACTGTCGCGAGATGACGGAGGGTTGCAGCAATGGAAGGGTGCGCCGCATCCTGCCCGTGCATGGTCTTCTTCATTTCCAGCGCCCGCTCGTAATATCCGACGGACTCCGTGTATTCACCTGCCTTGCGACATGCTGATCCAAGCTTGGTGAGTATGTTAGCTGTATCAGGATGTGGCGTACCGGTCCTATAGACAACTGTGTTCATTTCTAGGGCCTCTTCGTAGAAGCGTACCGCAATGACATGATCATCCCGGCCACACAAACTATCACCGGCGTCTGTAAGTGCTGCAACGATGTCAGGATGTGCTGTGTCTTGGCCATATGCGATCTTCATCATTTTCAACCATTCATTTGTATATGTGATGGCTTTAGTGTAATCACATTGTACCATAGTGCATAATCGTACTAGGGCCTGACGCGATTTAGCAATATGTAGGGGAAAGGAACTTCCTCTATTAAAGATATTTGCTATATTCAGTACAAGTGCTTCTTCACCGTTGCTCACAAGATTGTTGGCCGTCACAAGATCAATAGTTGGCTGTACAGTAGGGTTACCAACCATAAGTTCTATTTTATTTAGCATACTGTAATGCGTCGATAATAATGTCGTTTTTAACTCATGATCTGGATTCGCATGTTCAGCATCAATATCCTTGTTCAATAACAAGTTCATCTGTTTTGCGCACGTGACTAGCTTTTCCAAGTACACAGAATGGCCAGCAATAAACAGCTCTGCGCAGGCCATCGCAATGTGGCTATACGTGATGAACATCTCTTCGTGCGATGAACCAGGCCTATGTAACTGCTGCTGGATCTTTAGCTGTTCTTCCCAGCAGCTGATGGCCTTTCTGTGGTCACCCAGCCGGCTGTAACTCTCAGCTCGCTGGCCCAGGAGGGATGCCTTTAAATCAAGACTCCTCGTCGGACCGTATATCCATGGCCCAGCATCTTTCCCATCCTCCAACGCTTTCAAGGCCTCCTCTGTGTGTGATAACACTTCCGTGAACTGCAAAAGCTTTATACATATGGCTGCCTTAACCCTGGGAGAGGCATCATAGAAAGCCCTGCGTTCTGGTAAGGTTGCGATGAACTCAGCAGAACAGCCAATTTTTAATCCATTAAGGAAGTATGTCTTAAGTGGAATAGCTGTGTAGTGGTACCTTAACAGCATTTTCTGATCCGGCACGTGGAACACTGATTTGAGGAGTGCTTCGCCACCTTCTTCCTGCTGTGTATCGCCGCTGTGGTCCTGTTGTTTCTGCACTCCCAAAAGACCGGAAAAGTTTTCCTTCTGGCCCCCGAGCTCCAGGTACGTCCGTAGTCTCAGCTCACCGGAAATGCTGACCAGCACCAGCAGGTGATGGGCGTTTTCTTTAGTGACGACACCTGCGTCTTCCATTTCCTCAATGGTGTCCCAGACGCTTGTCGCATACACGCCCCCTAGAAGACCTAGATTCATAACTGCAACAGTCTGGAAACGGTATATTTTTTTCTTGACGTCCAGTAGCCTGTCGGTGGGTTCCATATCCTTGTGCTCTAGCGGGGTCTGATGTATAGAAAACCATGCCAACTCGCCCGCAACTGGAGCCTCACCGTTCTTGTCCAAGGTGTTCAGCTCTTGAATGACTCTTGCCATGTAGTCGTCCACCAGTGTCTGATCCCCAGTCAGATAGGAGACGTACCTCAGTATGCTGGACAGGTGGTAGCCATGAGCGAGGGCGATGTCATGTCGCTGGAACTCAGCCATGCCTGCAGGCGTTTGTATCAGGCTCACGGCGGGCTTGGTTCTCGTCTTCTCTCTACCGAACGGCGTTTTGCTCGCCCATGGCATGGCCCCGTCAAACGCGAAGCCGCGAGGAGTGACAGAGTCGTAGAACCAGCTGTCAGCCGGGTCTTCTGAATGGAAGTCGTTGAGGGACTTTATCGCCACTGCTGGGAGGATGGTCTCTCCCAGGTTGATGATTTTTAAGTACAGGTAACAGGTGAGGTTGAGAAAGTACTCTTTGTTCTTCTGAGTGTCCTTGTCCTCCTCTATCAGGATGGCAAACTCCAGATCGGAGTACGGAGTAACCAGTTCTGTAGCCTGTGAGCCCAAACCTACCATAGCGTACCGACATGGCGGCCGTCCGATTGTCTCGATACATTCTTCTACAAGATCTTTGATTAAGTCCTTTCTTTGTTCTGATATGTCCTTTAACAAGTCCCTGACCGATTCTGCTCGCTTCTTCTCCACTTCTTTGACTAACGGATCGTCTTCCTCATACCGGTACGGGTTGTGCTCCTTGTGGATCGTGTCTAGGCGGACTTTGACTTCAGTTCTGTACTCTTCCAGCCGATTCTTGTGTTGGATGTCGGTCTCGTAGGGCGCTGGTTTACAGTCGATCCCCACGGTGTGGTACAGAAACAGCCGCTCGGCTTCCTTGATGGAGTCGATGAGAAGCTGCTTGCCGCCGTTCCTGGCCAGAGCGGCGTTGTAGAGCGCCGTGGCTTTAGCGAAGTCCTGCCCGTCTTTTGTCTGTTCGCCTCGTCTGACGTACACGGTCCCGAGCTTGCGCAGACACTCCTCCTCCTCTTGAAGCCGGGGTGAATCCGGGTCTGCAAGAGAGCAAAGATATCGATATATCCGCTAGATTCGATTCCAAATGCAGGTATAGCAAGGTTTAGGTTTGCTGAAATGTAGTGAGGAAAAGACGTTGTCCTCTTCTTAAAAGTATTATTTTTACCTTTGCCAAGAAGGTAATGTTTTCAGAGGCGTTCGTGTGTGTGTGTGTGTGTGTGTGTGTGTGTGTGTGTGTGTGTGTGTCTGTAAACACGATAACTTGAAAAGAATTAAATAGATTGACTTGATATTTGGTAGCTGGGTAGATCTTGATGAGACCTGAAAATTGTTAGATTTTGTTAGAAATTGTTAGAAAATTGCTAGCATCTTCTTATGGTACTGCAGCTGAACTTCCGGTTTTGATATCTCTTGACTTAGACATGCTATGGTCATAGAATTTGGATGGTAGGTAGCTCTTGTGCTGGGAAAGAAGCCACGTAGGTTTTGGCCTCCTAGCTAGCGGCTTGCTCTGGAACTGCCGGGGCATTTGTTTAATAATATTCAAAAGAGGATAACTCAAGAACCGATTGACGGATCGTCATGATTTTTGGTATGTTGGTAGTTTAAGTGATTCTTGACATAATTATGTGGCAATTATGCAAATAAAGTAAATATGGGTGTAATGTGCATAATGTATGAGGAAATTCTATAAATCAGTTATATTACATGATAGGACTAATCAAGCTTGTGGCATATGTAATTGAGAAATAGAGAAACACAGGCAGATGTTGATTATGTAAATTGACTTAATTTGCATAATTAATGAGAAAATGTTGTAATTAAGCAATGGTAACTGCCTTGAATTTCATACCTAGGGTATTTGAAAGTTAAGTGAAGGTTAACATCATTAAACATAACTTATTCAAATAATAAGGACCTTATTTGCATAATATATGAGGAAATGCTAGAATGGCATTTTTGTAAGATAAGTCTTTTGGTGGGGAATATGATCAACTGATATAATTCATGGAAATGAGGGTCCTATTTGCATACTTACTTACTTACTTACTTATCCTCTTCGTCCCATGTGAGACATAAGGCCATGACTTTCTTCCTCCATCTGGGTCTGTCCTGCGCCATGTTGTTGACACTTCTCCAGGTCAGACTCATGGCCGCCAGGTCGTCCGACACCGTTCTCCTCCATGTGGTCTTTGGTCTGCCTCTTTTCCTCTTTCCTTCTGGCCTCCAGCTATAAGGGCGACTTTGGGGATCCTGTTGTCTGGCATCCTCAGTACATGCCATAGCCACTTGAGTCTTCTGCCAGTGATCTCGGTGGTGAGTTTCCTACAGCCAGTTCTGTTGTAAAGTTCGGCATTGGAGATCTTGTTTGGCCAGAAGACGTTGCAGGTCTTACGTAGACAACTGTTGTGAAATGTGTTGATCGTCCTCATGTCCGTCTTCGTCATTCTCCAACTCTCAGAGCCATGCAGAAGGACGGATTTCACATTATAATTGCTGTTGTAAAGTCTGATCTTGGTCGTGAGGCTATACTGCTTCAACTTCCAAATGGTTAGTAAGCGGCTAAAAGAACCTCCTGCTTTGTCCAGGCGGGTTTTAATGTCCTTTTGTGAACCATCTGTAGCACTCATAACACTTCCCAGGTAAGTAAAAACGCCTACACCTTCCAGTGCCTCCCTGTCTATTTTGATGGGAGGGTTTGCCAAGGTGTTGATGTACATTACTTGTGTTTTCTTCTTGTTAATGTACAAGCCTGTGCTTTTGCCACGGTCGCTTAAGCGGTCCGTCTTTTCCTGGAGTGATTTGCGAACAGATGAAACGACGGCAAGATCGTCGGCAAAGTCGAGGTCCTCGAGGTAAGTGTTCGACGTCCATTTGATGCCACGGGGACGGTCTGACGTGGTTTCTCTCATTACCCAGTCAATAGTTATAAGAAACAGGATAGGGGAGAGGATGCAGCCCTGTCTTACACCAGATTTTACGTAGAAATTTAAAGGTTTGGACAAACTCCTTTACGTGATGACACTGCATTCAAAGTGTTCGTAGAATTTCCCTATCATGGTCATGAAAACTATCTTGTGTGGAATCCCATAGGCTCTTAGTATCTTCCACAGGCTCTCCCTATGTACACTGTTGAAGACCTTTTGAAAGTCCATAAAGTTTATCAGCAGAGGGGAGTTCCATTCAATGATGTTCCCGAGAGCAAAGATCTGGTCTGAGCAACCACGACCTTTACGAAAACCTGCTTGTTCTTCTCTCAACTTGGTGTCTAGGGCACTGTCAATCCTTTTGAGGAGGATTCTACAGAACACCTTGCTAGGGATGGACAATGTTATTTCCCGCCAATCATCACAGTTGCTTAGCACACCTCTCTTGGGGATCTTAAAGATGAGTCCTTTCCCCCAGTCTTGGGGGATAACTTCATGTTCCCATATTTTGGCAAAAAGGTCTGTGAGTAAGAGTGTGGCTGTCGCACAGTCTGCCTTCAGCAGTTCAGCTTGTATGGCATCAATTCCTGTGGCCTTTCTGTTCTTCATGGCTTTAATTGCCGTTTCTACTTCTTCATGGCTGGGGGGGGGGGTCGGTATTGACGGGAATATCATCAGACGGAGTGGGATCAGCTGGTTGATCAGGCTCAGGTCTGGTTAACACCTCTTCGAAATGTTGGGCCCATCTTTCTGCTTGTTCCTTCTCATTTGTAAGTAGTTTACCTTGCTTGTCCTTGATTGGAACTGAGCAGACACTGTTTGCATAATCACTGTTTCCTATTTGCATAATCAGGTTAAAGAATCTATAATCTATAATAATCTATCATAAAGATTAACATCATTTGGCGAAGGTATGAGATCGTGGGACTCTACTTTTATTATGGTATGCTGTTCCTGAACAACTTGTTTCTGCCTCAGCAGAGCCCACGCTGTCTTTTGTCAATGTGAAAAACCACAAGTACCTGAGAGGTTCTAAAAATATTGACTTACCATGCACATGTTTAAGCGCAGACGCAAAGTGTTCTTCTGCTCCATCAAGATCCTCATTCTGCAGTGCCGAGTTTCCCTCAAGGAGGAGTTCAGCGTATAGTCTGTCGACAGGATTGAAAAAAAAAGAAAACATTATATTTATATCCTATAGCTAAACAAAAGATGTATGGGTGGTATCACCCCCCCCCCCCCCCCCAAAAAAAAAAGGAAGGAACCCTTCGTTTTGTAGAACTTTGCAAAAAAGACAAGTAATTTGTATACCTATTTGCTTTGCTCTGGTCGGCTCGTGGTTTATGACTTTTGGACAAATCCTCTTTGGACTTCCTTAAAGCGACCATTTTTTCCAGGAAACCAAGAAGGTCCTTGAAAGGATTCTCCATTTTGTTTCTGACTCTCTCGAGTAAGGCACACCCGGGTTCTAGAAGATAAAGGCAGTGTCAGTGTGAAGGAGAAGAAACCTCCCTTTTAAACCTCATTGCTGTAAAATACTGTAAGCTGCTAGCAAAACATCGCCCACGCTCATGTACTTGGATGTGTGCTAAATGTCGTCAGGACTTTCCGTGTATGAATCGCTGTGCCCAGAATACACGGTACTTTGACTAACGTCATAGTTGTTGTTTGCTTCCACCTGTTTGTTTGCCATGATGCCAAAGATCAACAACCAAGCGCAGCTGTATGAAAAGAACAGAACATATAACTGGAAGAAGTCAAGACTACCCGTAAAGACGACAGTTATCCTTGTCAAGATTTGTTAAGCGTCATATGGGCCAAATTTGCCTGGTATATCTGGTACTGACGTTGGTTCACATGAATGTACCAGTTCGTTTCACAGTCAGGCCGCTTCCTCCAGTAGACCAAGACCCCCCCCCCCCCGCCACTCCTGCCGCAAATAGGGCTTTCACTAACTCAAAGGGTTGGAGTATACAATAAGCCTGTGGCTATTGACAGGATCGTCCTGTCAGTAACAGAAAGTATTGGTGTACAACTCTGATATATATACACATGTCCTAATGCCCCCGTCACATTGCGCGTAAATCGATCGCCCGACTAGTCGGCGAGCTCTAAACGACATTTACGGCTGTAGTACGCCCGATGTTCCGTCGAGCATCGCGCGAATTTTCGGGGTCGCCGGCGATTTTTTGGAGTCGGCCGAAGCTCGCTGCACGCGAAACGTGTTCTTATACCCCCGTCACATTGCGCGTAAATCGATCGGCCGACTAGTTGGCGACCTCTAAACGACATTACGGCCGTAGTACGCCCGATGTTCCGTCGAGCATCGCGCGAATTTTCGGGATCGCCGGCGATTTTTTGGAGTCGGCCGAAGCTCGCTGACACGCGAAACGTGTTGTTAACATCAGCGACTAGTCGCCGGCGATTTTTGAGGTCGCAGAGCTCGTTTCCAGCTCGCGCGTAGCTCGCCTGTAACTCGCCCCTGTACGGCCGAGAGTCGACCGATATTCGGGCGTACATCCCACGAGTGTCGGCCGTTCTTTGTCTTCAAAAATCGGGCGATGGTCGCTGAATACGGTCGACCCTCGCGCGAGCTTCGCGAAATATTCGGGAGACCCTCTTCCGTACCTCGCCCGACTTGCGCAACGTTTTTAAAATCGTGCGTGCTTCGAGCGATCTTCGTGCCAGTGTCGGACGAAGGTTCTACGAGCCTCGGTCGAGCTCCTGTGAAGTTATTATTTATTCAGCACCTGTGACATTTATTTCAGATTGCATTGACAGTATACTGTGTAAAATTTGCAGGAGCAACGTCCCGTTGGTTGTTAAAGTTATGTTTACGAGAAAGGATAAAAATAGAAAAAATCGTCCTTTTTGTCCTTTTGTTAAATCACCATTCGTTAATAAACAAAACCACTTTAAAAAGATGACGAGGTTTTAACTATATAAGGCCAAATGCCTCGATTTTGACCTCAACTGATTGAACGCACATAAAATTCTTTACTCTTGTCCCTTTAGGAGGTGTGTGGCCTTATTTCAGATGAATGTATAATAACTTGACGTTTACACTTGTTCATCCTGGAATGAGGTTGACTTTTTTCTTAGGGTGCCCAAAAGAACGTCATGTGATAGATATTACTTACTAGTTGAAGTTTATATTGCATGGGTCTTTTTACCTCTGTCTACTTTGTTGACATTGAATGGCTTGTTTACAGGAAGATTCATACTATTTTAGACAGAAGTACTAGTACAGGCAAAGTTTTAGAACAATATATCTTATTAGCTTTGATCAGGTATCCGTGTATAAAAAGATTTTGATATAATGATAATCATTATGTCGTCTTGTACGTTTTGGTTGAATGGTCTATAGATCGTGCGAGCATCGATAGATCGTCGACCGTAACTCGAGCGACGTACTCCCGTGTGTCGAGCGAGCTTCGGCCGACTCCTGTTTGGTTAAAAAGGTGGTCGTTGTGTTAACAGGCGGTAGTGTAAATTTGTGGCTCTTGTGGTAGTATTTGAGTTGGATCCTTCACAGAATTCCTGTTTGTATTTCTATTTTATTCTGCCAGTCCGCTCCATTACTTTGCTTAAAAAATATAACGACAGGTCAAACATAAAAATTGGTTAAACTATTCATTTTTGGTGGATACACACGTACGGCCTTGCTTCTTCTGCGTGCCATGTCACAGGGACTTCATTATCATAGATGTATTGCCAAGCGATCGCCCGAGCCTCGCACAATGTGACGGCGACGATTTTCAAGGCAAAAATACGCGCGATCGTCGGTCGATCTCAAAATCGGCCGATCTTTCGGCGATTGACAAATACGGCCGAAGCTCGTCGACAATGTGACGGGGGCATAAATCATGGACCTCCGCCCACCATAAAAATTAAAAAAAAACACCATGTGGTAATGGTCACAGAAATCAGTTTTCTTCTCAAGCTTGCAAGTTGTTGAAACTAAGACAAACAAAACATAGCATTACATGAACGCGGTGCAATAAGCAATAAACAAGAGAATTGAGAACAACTGATTATACCTTAGAATCGTTAGATAATGTACCCTATCAACATGGCGAACGTACCAGTGTATACGCTGGAAGATCGTCAATACAAGAGGAAAACATAAAATATGTACCAACGAAGCATTGCCATGAGGGCAATCTATTAAACAAGAGAATCAGGTGGATCCCACTTTATCTTAGGGCTGACTAACCTGAAATTAATACACTGCTAGTACAACATCGTGCACGTACCTGGATGTATACCGGATATCAGGACACTGATGCCTGCAGCACGAATACGACAGTTTTACCCCTAACGGACTGTTTCTGCGCTGGGACTTTCCGCATGTACTTTGACCAGAATAGACGGTACTTCCCACTTACGTCATTGTTGTTGTTTGCTTCTATGGCGCTTGTTTTGGCTAAGATCAACAACCAAAAGCATCTGTATGGTCTGTGTATGGCAAACATGTTTTAAACATCTTAAAAACATAGCAGTGTGACGTTGTACAAGTCAAGACTACTCCCAAAGACGACAGTGATCATTACCTTCGCCAAGAAGGTTATGTTTTCAGAGGCGTTCGTGTATGTGTGTGTGTGTGTGTGTGTAAACACGATAACTTGAGAAGGCTTAAATGGATTGACTTCATATTTGGTAGGTGGGTAGGTCTTGATGAGACCTCAAAATGATTAGATTTTGGGCCCCCTAGCGGCTTCTAATGGTACTGCAGCTGAACTTCCGGTTTTGATATCTCATGATCTGGACAAGCTGGGGTGACGAAATTTTAATGGTAGGTAGGCCTTCGGCTCGGGAAGAAGTGACGCAAGTTTGGGCCCCCTAGCGGCTTGCTCAGGAACTACAGGGACATTTCTTTGAAAATATTCAAAAGAGGATAATTCAAGAACCGGTGGACTGATCTTCATGATTTTTGGTATGTAGGTAGCTTATGTGACACTTGACATAATTATGCAACAATTATGCAAATCTGGATGTAATTTGCATAATTAATGAGGAAATTCTATAAATCAGCTGCATTACATTATAGGACTATTCAAGCTTGTGACATGTGAAATTGAGTACGAGAGAAACACAGGCAGATATTGATTATGTAAATTAACACTTAATTTGCATAATTATTGAGAAAATGGTATAATTCCATAATGGTTACTGCCTGGAACTTTATACTTGGGGTATTTAAAAGTTAAGTGAAGCTGAACATCATTAAACATAACTTATTCAAATAAGGACCTCATTTGCATAATTTATGAGGAAATGATGGAATGGCTTACTTTATTAAGATAAAACTGTCTTTTGATGGAGAATATGATCAACTGATATAATTTATGCAAATGAGGATGCTATTTGCATAATCCGGAGGAATCAGCTTTGTCAGTCATAAAGATTAACATCATTTGGCGAAGGTATGAGATCGTGGGACTCTAGTTTTAAATATGGATTACATCATTGTAACAGTCCTCAGCTTTCTATGTATATTTTGTAAACCGTCTGGATCCTGTTACCACCCAGTACTGTGTGTTGGCTTCAGTTCACATGACCTCCGCATAGCGGCATATAAAATAGGGACTTACAGGGGAACGAGACAACAAATTTGAGCCGTAAACCAAACATATTTAATTGTTGTAGCTTGCTTGAGCACCCTACTTTAAATCTTAAAGCGTCGGACCCTCTCACTTTGGGTTCCTTAACCATGTAATTTGCTATATACTGTGTTCTGCTTCCTTCAACCACGACGGTAATTAGTAAGCGTCATATTCGGCCAAATTTGTCTGGTATATCTGGTACTGACGTTGGTTCACATGAATGCACCAGTTCGTTTCACCGCCAGGCCGCTTTCCCCAGTGCCACTAGACCAAGACCCCCCCGCCCCCGCCGTTCTGCCGCAAATAGGGTTTTCACTAACTCAAACGGTTGGAGTATACAATAAGCCTGTGGCTATTGACAGGATCGTCCTGTCAGTAACAGAAAGTTTTGCACTACTGACAGGATCGTCCTGTCAGTAACAGAAATTATTGGTGTACAACTCTGATATATACACATGTCCTAAATCATGGGCCTCCGCCCACCATAAAAATAAAAAAAAAACACCATGTGGTAGTGGTCACAGAAATCAGTTTTCTTCTCAAGCTTGCAAGTTGTTGAAACTAAGACAAACAAAACATAGCATTACATGAACGCGGTGCAATAAGCAATAAACAAGAGAATTGAGAACAACTGATTATACCTTAGAATCGTTAGATAATGTACCCTATCAACATGGCGAACGTACCAGTGTATACGCTGGAAGATCGTCAATACAAGAGGAAAACATAAAATATGTACCAACGAAGCATTGCCATGAGGGCAATCTATTAAACAAGAGAATCAGG